TATTAGTGCTAGGCATTTCACACTGACCAATGACCACCCCCAAAAGTACCATCTCTGAACCATATAAGCACTTCAGAATAGCCAAAGCTTTTATGGTTTGGTAGATAGCAGTATGGCGAAAGCGTCGTTTTTGGGTGTGGTCAGTTTCGGACGTTTCGCCCCGGATTGGGGTTCGGGCAGCATTACCATGTTGACCATCATGGTCAACTTACCCTAAAACAGTTGAGATTATCTGTCCTAAATGAAATGCATACAAACTCATATACAGGTCCTAGACTAAATGAGGACATGACTACTATAGATACTGCCTTATTAGTATTCTTTATATAAAGAATACTAATTAGGAGTGTTTTATCAGGTTTAAAGCCACTGCACGTGACATATTATGGTTAACATGATTTGCCAATAAGCTTATGAATTATTAATGAGTGTTTGAAGTATATTTATAGAGCAATTATATAGAACATGGGTATAATCATGATACTGTAGTTTGATGTATAAAGTTATAACACAAACTAAGGGTACTGTTTGTATAAAGCGGGCTATCTGCTAATTTATGTCAAGAAAATATATCCTTTGCCCCAAAGAAAAATTTTGATTAACTAAAAGACCGGTTTACACTTAATCTGAACCAAATATTTTTATCAACTTTTTTGAGAAAATCTTTAAGGCAAAACAAGGAAGAAAGTAATCGACCTGGTGAGATGGCTGGGCTAGTTTTTCCATATAATCAGCCCTAATATCTCAATTTAAATACGTAAATTTAACCGTCAAATTCAGCCGTTATTACTGTAAACAACTTTAACAATTGCAGATTTGATATACTGTAGTAACAGTAAATTACATTGTTAATTTATCAAACCTGAAATTGTTAAAAACAACTGCTCGTCCCTTCCCCTCTTTTGAACTGTGCCTTTGGGGACACTTGATCCTGGTATTCCCCCGTTTACCACACAACCAGCATACTATGCATATATTTGAAAATATAAAATTCTAGTATGTAGTATTATTAACCCATTGAGTGGCAGCACTCTCCACTTGACAAGTAAAATCTCTGGCATTAGACAGAGTAAAATACTAAAGTAATATATTGCACAGTTAGGGTTTTGATCTTTTTGTCTTTTACATTGTTTAATGTTCTATATATGCATAATTATAATTGTGCTTATTTTTTGTATTTTCCAGGAACATTGTCAAAGAAACATTCCTTTCCAACATACAATAATTATTAAAATTTACTGTAAAGTTAATTGGTCCAATATTTTTTACTACTGTAATATCACATGACTATTATAATAGTAATATTGTAGTTTTAGTAAAGTACATATGTGAACGGCATGCCACAACATACTAAATTTAAAGAAAATACAATCAGTTTTCAAGAATATTCATTTAGGTTACAGTACATACTGGAAGTGCACTCACTAAGATGTTGATAGTTTACATTTTCATGCTAAACAAAATACTTAATGAAATATATACAGTACCGGCCACTACCTATTCTCCTTGCTTGATTTTCTAAATTTGAAAAATAGAATCAAAAGAAGTTAAATATATGTATATACCTGACAATTGGGATCATATAGACAATTGGGGTCAGTTATTGAAAAGCAGGTTGGCCTATTTGGGTTAATATAAAATTGAAAGCAAACTTCACACAGGCTTCTTTGTAAGCTTGGAAGTTTTTTTTCCAGAAATTTTGCATGTATCATGATAACAAGTTTAAACTCTTTAACGACACGACCCTATTACCGCAATGCTTGTAAGCAATACGCTTTGCCGATTTAATATCTTTGGTTCATTGAATGCTATGAGGACAAAAATACCACCGTTCGATTCAGTGTGACGAGATCTCCTCACTCGTAGCAATAGTTTTAGTCATTGGCAACATTATAGCGATTTATGAGCTTTAAAAGTAAAGTGAGATCGAATACGATCAAATTACGCATTTTACCAACAAATTATAAAAACATAAACATACCTTACGCCGAATATAACTTCGGCCCCTTGAAACGTATGCTCATTGCGATATTCTTGATGAATTAATCATTTAAAATGCCATGAATAACGTTATTTCCAAGCTTCTATCCTTAAAGGGTGACTTTTAGTGCCAAATTTTACATTTTTGCTCCGAATTTGCGATAATCCCAACCGGAAATACGACGAAAACTCGTCAAAACAATGCCACGCTTGTATCGCGTGACTCTGGAAATGCCAGAAATGGACTCTACAGGTCAAAGTGCACCCATACGCGTGAGTTTGACGTCATCCCGGCTAAAGGGAGCTCCTTATTGGCCAAGTATTACGTAATACAAGCGCGTGCGAGTAAAACCCGATACTTTAAAAATTCAAAATAAATATTTCTACTCGTCGTATTCATACGAAACTTTCTACACTAAAGCGCTTGAATACAAAGAGTATTTTGCACATATAGCCTTTCAGAAAATGACGAAAAGTTTAGAAGATATTCAACTTTTTCTCTTTTTATCGTTTGAATGTTTGGCGAAGCGGTGAATATAACTATATGATTGTTTCGGTTTGTATAATGTTCGACAGCACTTGACCCCCCGTTCGAAAGGTTATTTTGTGAGGATTACAATGGTGGGTTTTGTTTTAAAGGGGGGTAAATACTCGCCGCGATATTTACATTTGAAAAATTGAATTGTAATGTAATGCGAAACTACTTGTCGACAAGGAGTTAATTTTCCAAAGTTCTGAAATAAACAGATGTGAAGTTCTACTATATTACAATGTGTTAAAGTTTGACCCAGAGCTAGTACTCTTAAAGGATTAACCTGTCAAATGGAAATACACCAATATGCACTCAACTTTGTTATTTTATTATGTATAATACCAGACAATTTTATTTGTCATCAGGAGAGTGCTGCCACTCAATGGGTTAGTCTGTTATTGGGTCCTATTTATTTGAAAGAATAAGTTAAGGCTGTTATTTCTATGGACCTTTTTTGAGGGTTGTTGTTGCCTTCAATACGTTCACTGTACTTCTTCAAATTGATCCTACTTCGAGCAATTTTTCAACATGGTGTCGTATATAATTTAAAATATTTATTATTAAATGAAACTATGCTGGAAATTGGATTTACACAGTTTGACTTCAACCTGGCAAGTGGAGTTTCAATATTGTGCGAGCCAGGGTGCGAGCCATGTGAATCGTATTTAAAATATTTAAAGTAGTTAAAAAGTGAAATGAAAGACTGTATATTAGTGAAAAAATACACAAAATTCAAAAACGAAATATAAATATAATCAAGAATCAAGAACCCAATTTCAATTACAGGAATTTTGTAACTCAAATAATTCAATTACAAATTAATATAAGGTGTTTTAAGATATAATGGACAAGTTGCATGTTAGACTAAATTTTTACCTAACGAAAGATAAGGGAATAAAATACCACAGCTAAAAGGAACATAATGAAATTAGCAAAATCGCAAAATTTGGTTGCGAAATGTTGTAAACCTTGGAAAATATAGTACAGTACGTCTTGCAGTTTGCAAATTTTGTATAGGAAGTGGATATTCATCCGACATTCCATAATCATTAAACTCGTTAAATATAAAACTGCGTAAATTTAAATGAATTTCAAGCGAATCCTCCGTAGTGTTGTGGTTTAGGCACCCGTACTGCGTGCGCCAAGTTGTGGGATCGATTCCTGCTCTTGCTATTATTCTATTATTTTTTTTTATACTTTTTCTTTTCTTCGTGATTTTCGCGTACGAAACCGTCGAAACGTATAGCGTATAGAATAATATGTTGTTGCTTCGTTCTTAAAAAACAACGCAACCATTTAGTGGTTTAGTGCTAGCTTTTAAAGCGTTGTCGGATTAATAGCCGTGAAGCAAGAAGATCCGGTGTCGGACGAATATCCACGGGGTTTTGTATATGTTTGTATTACGTGCGGAAATTCAGGGTTCGAATTAATTCTGAAAAAATGGTTCGTGAATTAATTTTTTTATTTTAAGGAAATTTTAAGGAATTTTCAAGGAATTTTCTCTAATTGGAAGTTAAAAAGTGGAAGCACTGCAATTTTCAAATATATAAATAATATACTCACTATATACATCGCGAACTCACAAAGAAATAGAATTTTGGGTGGAAATATAATCGTTTTTAAGTACAAGCTAACAACAATATCTTCAGAATATATGATCCTTCATCACATTTACAAAGAACCGAATTTATTATTGTATAATTTTATCAATTTGAGAGACTTTTGATTGGTGATTTTGATCAAGTTCTATGAAATTGGGTTCGTGAAAAATGAAAATTGATTCGTGATTCACGAATCACGAACCGTTATTTCGAACCCTGAAATTGTTAGCATTTTCGGCTCAAATACAATTATAACATATACAAAATATGCAAACTTCGCAAGGTTATATTTTCCGAAATTTACAACATTTCGTACTAACCAAATTGTGCAATATTACTAGTTTTAATACTGCTGTTTGTAATCTACCATTAGGCGTGCAATTTTTTCAGGTCTGTTTACGTTTTAAACGTTCAGGTTTTGACCGGAAAACGTTAACGTTTTGAGCAAGCCAATCAACGTTCGGAGGCATACTTTGCTAACGTTTTAAAAGCAACCAATCAACGTTTGTCATGATCTTAGCAAAGTTTCTGATGGTCAAACTCACAGGTTTAGACATTCTCTCAGCAGCATTCTAGATTTTTCTCCCTTGGAATTACTTACTATGACTATGTATCAAGTTAGTAAATCGGGAAGAACTTATCAAAATGGAAAAGCCACTGGTGATGATCTTCGACGCCTTATAATCGATAAATGTCTTGCAGCTGGGGGAGACAGAATTTCTGGCCATTTGCCAACCACATATACGGCAGTAATGTGGAGTGTTTTCCCGAAGGAAACATGCTTTACACACAATTATTTATCAACTATCTCTCGTCAAAACCCCCCAGAAAAATCAAATTCTTTGATGAATCAGGGGTTAAAACTCTAGACATTGGCACTCGTCGTTATGGCCATGCTCCTGTGGGGAAACGCTGTGTCGAGGTAATAAGGAAAGTGGAGTCTCTGAACGTTACCCTTAACCTACTGGTTTCTTTAGACTTTAATATTGAAGATGGTTCTACCAATACAGCCAAGTTTTTAATTTCTTTTTTGAAGCATCAGAAGCCACTAACATGTTTTCTGGACGTCCAGCCATTGAAGTTGGGGACATTATTGTAATGGACAATTTAGCCGTCCACCACTACGATGGGGGATATATTTTAGAAGAATATCCTGAGGTAATGGGAGTGGAGTTAATTTTTACTCCCACATACTCTCCTGACCTTAATCCAGTTGAAATGTGCTTTGCTAAAGTAAAACTTAATGGTGAACTTTCCGATGCTGTACACGAAAATCTTAAACTAGCTGTCATGGACGCTATTGAAACAGTAACACCATCAGATATGGCAGGTTACTACCGGGCGACATCGTACATGTTTCCTAAGCTTGAATGAAACTTGCGTAAAAAATTCCCTTGAAAACTGACATTCTATAATTAGAAATGACGCTTTAGACTTTACTCGTTTGAATTTTGTGAATATTTTCCAGCATCATGGCCCAACAACATGGAACAATTTTCAAATGTTTTATATTGTTTTTATCGCAATATTTACTTGAAACAAATTCAATATCAAATTATTAAATTGACAAAAAGGTTTGAAAAGTAAACAGTTTTATACTGTAGCAAGTTTATATTTCAACATGCATGACATTGTTGCAGGATGTTGGGCAATTGATAGGTATTTCCTTTATATTGACTTATTGTTAATACCGTTATGTTTGGTTCAAATCAGTGCCAAAATAGTATTGTTGTTTTTTTTGTCATAGCCGTAATTTGTTACAAATGGAAGCCATTTCACAGCACGTCAACGCCAATTCGCCAAACTTGTTGACGTACTGAATCATGATCATGCATATAAACATGCATGCAAAATTTACTGTACTGTTACTACTGTACTTTTCGAACACATATTAATTTCAATTGCATTGTTACAGTAAAAGTATTTAACGTAAAAACTATTAACTTTAAAATAAGAACACCATGAATATGATTATATGAAGCAACATAAAATGAACATGAACTGAAACTTTAGCCCGAGATTAATGCATTCACCATCTCAATACCGTTTTATATGACAATGTATGTTCAATTTCAAGTCGGTTTTTATACACGGACGATTATTTTTGTAATTTTATCTTCCTGAGGTATGCTATTGAGTGTTTTGAGTATGAAGCTTTTTTTACTTTACTAAACTTTACTTGAATAATCTCATGCGTTTTTGTGTAAAACATTAAACATATCTCGTATATATATAGAGAGAACAATTGTCATTAAAAAATAATCGTCTGTGTAAACGGGCCAATAATAACTATATAAACATGATATGTATTTGATATATACGTATTAAACACTGTATTTTCAGTTGCGGTTTAATACTGTTGATTAGAAGAGTTTCTAAAGGACAACAATAACTCAGCTGTTTCGTTATCATCTCCGTGAGCGTCCGACACAGTTTCAGCATGCTGTTCTGACCGAGGTTCTGGCTCTTCTGTTACCATATGCATCGGATAAGGTTGTTCACTAATATTTGGTAAAAAATTGTTATAAACGCTGGGTAATGTTGAAAAAGGTGGGAAAACTGGTTGGTAAATGACCGTTTGTGGAGGTTGTGGCGTCGGTTTATTCATATCAAACATACTTTGTTTAAGGACCATATGAAGCTGTTCCTGTTCTTCTTCTGGATTGCCAGGGGCGCATCGATGGATGGAAGATTTTTCACATTTTGTTTCGGGATCAAGTGGAAAATCAACACCACACCTTTCTAGTATTTGCTTTGTATGATTCCCTTTTGACTTCGCTTGTTTGATGGTTGTACATGTACTTGTTTGTCTTTCGTTCAAGGCACTATTTAAGATTTCTGAAAGTTTGTGCTTTGGTGGTATTTTGCCTCCAAAGTTTTTTTTACAATAACCTTCAATCAAGTAAACATGTCTTCAAATAAGTTGCCAGTTCTTGTGACCATTACACACATACTTTGCTTCGTCCTCCTGGAGGAGGCTCTTCTCAATTCTGTTAACAAGTGTTTGCTTTATTTGTTCAGATGTGTCTTGTTGTTGTGCAATATTTCTCTCAAGCCCACTTATTTCATTTCTAATTTTCTGCATATTGGACCTCACCTGTTTGGTTCGGCTTAGTTCACCGGGGTGCAACTTCGCCTCGCCGCAGCTGAAAACTGACATGCATTTTCCGTAATCACATTTACGTGCCGTATGTCCGAGGCATAAATGGCTGTTGTGGCATATATTTCCATCATTTGTATGTGATCTAACTCGAGCAAGTTGATTTTGGGTAGCTTTGCATTTTTATTTTCCAACTCTGATTCCATTTTTTTCAAATATCTTTGAAATGGAGTTTGAAACTCCTGGTTACTATTTGAATCTGTACACGACTGGTTTTCATTTACGTTCGGTTCAGATTCTAAAAGCTCCATGAGATATGGGTCATCTGCTGTCTGATAATTTAGTTTTCGCTTGGGCTCGCTTGACTTGCACAATCGCTTCTTGGCAGGGGCTTCACGATGTTGACTCAAGGGCGTAAAATCGTTGTCCACTCGTATAGAAACACGTACCAGTTCATCATTTTGAGGAATTGGGGCACTTGCTCGAACAGCATCGCTAACGTCAGATTGTTTATTCATCGTAATATATGTCATCATCTCGACATTGCATGCAAATTTTTTCATCTCCAAAAAAAAACAACCACCAACTACTTCAGATACTGTTTTTGACAATTCATTTAATGTCATTGAAGAATTTTTTTTTTTGCAAGAACTGATGTTTTGCATCTTTCGTAATTCGGACCGTAAAGGATTTTTATTTGAACTTTCATTTTGTTGCACAATAAAATTTTATGTCGCCCTTGTATTTACACGTCTAAATGTGTGGGCGGAAGTATCGATGACCATGAGAAACTTTGATAAGATCATGGCAAACGTTGATTGGCTTGCTCAAAACATTAACGTTTTCCGGTCAAAACCTGAACGTTTAAAACGTAAACAAACCTGAAAAAAATCGCACGCCTAATGGTAGATTGCAAACAGCAGTAAGTTCTTTATGGGAAGTTACTTTTTACCTAGATCAAAAATTAGTCTAACAACATGCAAGTTGCCTATCATGTCCTGCAGATAGGAGATAACGTAATCAGTACCATTTGGTCAAGACCAATTTCTTATATTTATTTATTGCACATGGCTCGCACACACATCGTGTGGCTCGCACTGATCTGCGGTGGCTCGCAACATCAGCATGGCTCGCACTTTATGTATACCCGGCAAGTGCAAGTGCAACTGTACAGTAATATATTGCAGCACAGTTAGGGTTTTGATTTTTTGTCTTTTACATTGTTTAATGTTCTATATATGCATATAATTATAATTGTGCTTATTTTTTGTATTTTCCAGGAACATTATCAAAGAAACATTCCTTTTCCAACATACAATGATTAAAATTTACTGTAAAGTTAATTGGTCCAATATTTTTGACTACCGTAATATCACATGACTATTATAATAGTAATATTGTAGTTTTAGTAAAGGACATATGTGAACGGCATGCCACAACATAGTGGCCAGACTTATAGCAACATCCTAAATTTAAAGAAAATACAATCAGTTTTCAAGAATATTCATTTAGGTTACAGTACATATATACTGGAAGTGCACTCACAGATGTTGATAGTTTACATTTTCATGCTAAACAAAATATTTAATGGAATATACAGTACCATTACCTATTCTCCTTGCTTGATTTTCTAAGTTAGAACAATAGAATAAAAAAAAAATGGACCTCTATGGAGAGTGTATACATTCAGCGTTTAAAAGACTTGATCGGCTTACCAATCAACGTTCAAGATTGATTAACAACCTCGCCTTTCTGAAAAGGTGTCGAGACAACAAGGTTGTTCCTAAAGGATTACGCATCTCAACGCAATATCATACTAAGTATGCGCGAAAGATCTTGATGAAAGCCGAGTTGGCACTACTAAGAGAACAAATTGCTTGGACTCGTAGACAGTTATGCAGAGTGGATGAACGTATTTTATCTTTGAATGAAGAATTGTGGATGACTTTAAATGAAGAACATTATGCGACAACTAAAAGAATGATCTCTGCGTCCTCTACGAAAACTTTCAACAAAGCATGTTCCACTCAGACTGCCAAATTCACAAAATTGACATCCTTTGGTCGGACGCATCGCAGACAAGAAGATTTGGCCAGTCATCCACTACAACGCACCGTTATCAATATGAGTGCTAGAAGGCTTACGCCGGTTGAAGAAAATGTCTTGGCTCTTGGATTAAATTTCGCTGTGGTACCCCGTGTTCTTCCTAAAGAAGAATTTGTACAACGTTTGGAACCGAAGTTATACCACATGACGAACAATGAAGCTAGTAACATCCGCGTCCAAATCACTGAGGTTCTACGACGTGCAACGCTTCCAGCTTCGAATTTAACCAAGAATAAGAAGGATGCATTGAAAAACTTAAGAGCAGATAAGTCAATACATATTTTAAAGGCTGATAAGGGTAACGCTACGGTTATTTTAGATCGTCTAGAACATGATAATAAAATCCTGGCTCTGTTAAACACTTCAACTTATAAAGAGCTTAAAAGAGACCCTACAGCTAACATTGAACGTAAAATATGTTCCAAACTATCTGGTTTTAAAAAGGCAGGTATTTTGTCTCAAACAATTCATAATTGTTTGAGACCTTCAGCTACTGTTTGTCCAAAATTTTATGGTTTACCTAAGATACATAAACCTAATGTCCCACTAAGACCTATTGTAGCGTCCATAGGTTCGCCAACGTATGCCCTGGCTAAATATCTCGCTGAGATATTGAAACCAGTTCTTGGAAAAACAGATCATCATGTAGTAAATTCTAAAGAATTTGTAACAAAAATGGAACAAATTAGATTGGGTAAGAATGGCATTCTGGTAAGTTTTGACGTAGTTAGCTTGTTCACTAATGTTCCAGTTGACGAGGCTTGTAATATCGCGAAAGAAAGACTTCTGTCAGATATCACATTATCTCAAAGAACTAATCTTTCTCCTGAGAATGTTCATGATTTGTTGAAACTATGTTTGACCACGACATGTTTTCAATGGCGGGAGAAATTCTATGAACAAACCAACGGCGCTCCAATGGGAAGTCCATTGTCGCCTGTTATGGCTAATTTGTTCATGGAGGAATTTGAAAAGAAGGCCTTAGCTACTGCAAAGTTGAAACCAGGTTTCTGGTTCAGATACATGGATGATACATTGAGTAGCTGGTCTCATGGACTAGATAATTTACAAAAGTTTCTAGACCACATTAATAGTTTGCATCTATCGATCAAGTTTACTTTTGAAGTACAGAAGGATGATAAAACTATACCGTTCTTAGATGTTCTTTTCACTATACATGATGATGGGTCGCTAGGACATAAGGTTTATAGGAAACCAATACACGCAGACAGGTATCTGCATTATAATTCATTTCATCATCCCTAGTATTAAAAACTCTGTGTGCAAGACACTCATCAACCGAGCGAAAACAATTTGTGAGGTAAGTAACATTGACGGTGAATTGGAACATTTAAGAAATGTTCTAAAAATGAATGGTTACCCACGGCATTTCATAGACAATGCTATGAAAATGCCACAAAGTATACAGCAGAAGATTGAATATCAGTCGTCTGTTTGTCTACCATACATTGGTCCGGCTTTACACAAAATCGAAAGAATTTTGAGGAATGAAGCAGGTATAAAGGGTATACCATTCCAGCGAAAACAAATTGTTTCGAGCTCTTTGCACACATAAGGACAACGTAAATGAATCTCAGAGACCTGGTGTGTACCACATTCCTTGTGAATGTGGTCTGGTTTACATTGGCGAAACTGGTCGACATCTCTCAGTACGTCTTAAGGAACACAAGACGAATTGCGAGAAAGCCGAGCAAGATAAATCTGCTGTGGCTAAACATACTTGGACTTACGACCATCGTATAAAATGGGACGAAGCAACCATTTTGCGATTGATAGTCATAAGTTCTCTCGCAAAATGAGAGAGTCAATTGAAATCGAGAAGCACAATACTATAGATCAGGAGGGAAAGCCACTAGATAGTACGTGGCGTGCTCTCTTTAATGTGCAAAATTAATTTCTCTTGTCTTGGATGCGCCGCGTTAATTGGAATCACTTCACTATGTTTGAAATGACGTGGTTGATGTGCCGTTTAATTAAATTTCAAATGACGCGAGCCAACAGGTCACAACACTCTTGTATATAAAAAGAGCATGCGAATTAAACAAGTCACATATTATTAGCACTGATGAAGATCCAGGCTTACGGATCGAAAGCTTTGCAGTAATACATTTACGTGGTGTTTCCACAAACAAAAACAATTAGAATCAAAAGAAGTTGAATATATGTATATACCTGACAATTGGGATCATATAGACAATTGGGGTTGTCGATTTTCTCAAATACCAAGTCCACTGTACAAATACCAAGTCCATTTCACAAATACCAAGTCCATTTTACAAATACCAAGTCCATTTCACAAATACCAATTCCATTTTACAAATACCAAGTCCATTTCACAAAATAATATCAAGTCCATTTTTATTCACTTACACTTTGGAAAGTGAAATTTCCCTACAAGGAAATTGTCAAAATGGAATTGATATTTGCTTGTGTGCAAAACAATGTACAAAACACAATATCAATTCGAACATGCTAATTAGGTCATAACTATTCAATGACTGATTATGCAGGTATTTATCTATGGTATTTATTCAACGAATGTATAATTATGCACGGACAATCTATAATTATATAGTTAATGCTTGATGCCATTTTCAACAATTTACACCAATCATAGCGTGTGTTATAAATCTTTAAGAATTTCCAACCAATCAACTACCTTAAAATATTTTCATGTAAAAGAACACCAGTGGCAAAATGTCACATTGTTTTTATTGAGACTATAACTTCGCAAGAAGATGGATGCTAATTCAAATTGCAAATGCAAATCAACCTTCAGAGCCTTTACAAAGGTTGATAAGAAGCATTGTGTCCGAAGTGTTTACTAGTAATGTTACTTCATGATCTTCGCCCATGGCAAGACCTACTACAAGCAGGAGCGTAATGGAAGAGTTAAACCAAAGATTTCAAATACCATGCAGCCCTTGTCAAAGTGGCGAAATCACAGCAGGTGCAGGACAATCCTCGGGTGAAAGTCGTCAAACCATGATAGCTACCTTACCACCACAGCCACCACTTCAGTTTCAGTTTAATCCTCACCAAAATTATGGGAAAAGCTCTACTACATGAAGGAGGAGTAGACAAGTGCAAAGTCTCGCACCAAGGACGGTTACAAACAACAATGTTTATATAAAAAAATATTTATTTTTCCCTCGCCGTCATGGGTGAATGTTCCGCGGAAAGAATCGAAGGATTATCTTCAAACACATGGCCTTGTGATTGACGCCTATGAGATAGACAAGAGCTAGGACAACAAAGAACTCATTGATCATTTTAATGAACTCTTTAAAGATGTATTAACGGATGACACCTGTTGCTTTGGTGTTGCAGACTCATTTTACATGTAAGTGAAAGTAGCTTTTAAGTAGCAGGCCTTGTTCAGCTGATTGCTGTAGATATTGCCGACCTTGTGCATGAATCAAGCAGCGTGATGTGAGTAATAACTATAAATATACTTTATTAGTGTTGTAGTTCATAGCAGCTCGAGAATTCAAACTTTTAAAAAATTGGCAGTAATTTAATTATTTAAATAACTTTTGGAGTAACACAGAATTTACACCGGTGATGTCGGTTTGGTACATTAGTATGTGATACAATTCACTAGAACAAAACATTTTGACTTGATAAACAGTTTCAAAAATATATTTATATCAAAAGGAAGACAATACCATCTTAAGTCCAAACATTACAATAAATTTCAAAATCATACAAAATTAAATATGACGATGCAGCTATGAGCGAATATATGTTTCAAAATTGCAACAGCTGAACAGTATATTAAAACGTTTACAAATTGACAATAACAAACTGTTAACTGTAAAAATATATCACAATAAAAGCTAAATTGCTTGTAGTTTGTAGTCTGCTGTAAAACTCATAATAACCGATAAAAGCAACGTTTGTAGATTGTGTAGTAAGTTTCATAAATACATAAAGCGACATATATTTAATAGGTTACATAATTTGTCAATCAGTATTTTCAAATTGATCAGGTATAGCTATACTGTATTTATATTTAAGAGAAATACCAACACGTGCACGGGTTTGTATCCACGCTCTTCGACTTGTCAAGGCAGATATCCAATGAAAAAACCTGCCGAAACATCTCAGCGATTTACAGCTGTTCACAGCACTCTTTCAAAATTCACAGCACTCACCCAAATTCACAGAACTCTTTCAAAAATATACGCTTTTTATTGAAAGCGTATGCTATAAACATTGCGCCACCGTGATTTATGCGTATTTTGGCATACATTATGATTTAAACCAATACTACCATTTGCGTGCATTTATAACTACGCAAAAGCAGCCTAAAATAAACAGGTGGTGTGTCAGGAATCTTAAGAGCATGCGTGCCCGCGTAACCAATAAATCATCCCCAGTTTCCCAAGTGATTGCACGGTTGTTTATGTGCTTTATCTGTGGCTTTGTTTTCTGCCATGTGTGCGCTTGTATGTTGACCACCTCTCGATAGAAATAATGTCAAAAAAAGAAAAGAGTGGCTGTGTCGTTGTGATTTAGTGAATGGTCCAATACCATGCTCCAAAATAACGCTGGAATGTAGAGATTGTTCCTACACCAAAGTCAATACCGTGGAAGTGAGCAACATCACATATGTCGATTTGAAATTATATAAATGGTTCCCGTCTCTGAGGTAAGCAAATTATAAGGCCTGTTTCAAACGTTGTGCTTCTCATGTGCCGAACGCATTATCAACTGATTATCTATTGTTTTTAATGCGTTCGGCACATCATAAGCGCGGCGTTTGAAACAGGCCTAACAGTTTCGTTTATATAGCCAGTTTGTCAGTATGACGACAATCAAAACACGCAAGTTGCAACTGTCATTCCCCCAAGTTCCTATCACTTTCGTGTTGAGTCGAGACAATATAAACAAATCAAAAGGACAAAAATCTTGCCTACCACAGTCCCAAACTTAATTTTCATTGTTTTGAAACTCTATTATTAACAAACAGCCAATATATTTTAAAATCTTATTCGGCAACATGTCCTGTGAAATATACACCGCATGCCCCGATTGGTAACTCTGGCAGTTTGGGAACACATGTCATATGTAATGTGTTTACATATTTAACTACCGCAAAATAAATTTCATTCATTGGCACTGAATTTTGCATGTTTAATATTTCGTAGCTTTGTTTCATGTTATATGATTTCGCCTCGCAAAGAACATCTGGAACCAGGGTAATAATAATGTGATTTAAAAATGGACATATTTCTTGAAAAAAGTACTTTTAATTTGTCAAATGATATAGGAAAAATATTAGTCCCCGTAACTTCATTTTGGATTTGTTATTTTTCATCAGGAACTTGAGAGTTGAGAAATTGACAGTTGCACTTGGCAAATTACTCCAAGCAAATTGCAACGCATCAACATTGCAAGATTGATTGCAATGTTGCAAATACTCAGGGGAACAGAACATCCAGTTTGACTAGTGTAATAATTGCAAAAATAGTTCACAGTTAAAAATAGTTAATAGCTAGTTAATAATTGAAAAATTCTGTTTTCTCTATGTGATTGTGCAGTAATCATTGCTGGGTATCATTTATGGGGTTTGCTGAAGCATATAATGACATATTTGAAGAATGTATCTCTAAATATACAGTGGTTTTTACTGGGCATCGAGTTGAAGGTGAGAAATGCATAACTAATTGTGAAATTATCAGAATTTCAATGTAATTAATAAATTATATGGTTATGTAGTTGGGAGATTGATTCCGTATTTTTCTTAACCCGCTGGCATTACCCTACCACTGATGAGTGAAATTGTATGGGGTATATGACAGAGTATGGTATAAACAAACTATAAATACATACTGGTACAATGCATTTGAGCACATTACAAGCAAATAAACTATTAAATACATAGCTGCCAAGGTGGAGTGATCTGCATGTGTGAGATGCCATCCACAGACGCAATCTAATGCCCCCCCCCGGAAATTTTTTTAAATTTGGGTCTCTGATATGGAATTTCCAGCGTTTCATTCCCAAGACACGATTTATTCACGATTGCTGCACCTTGGATACTGTAATCAGATAGCGTTTACGCACCGGAAATAGGCTCAATTTATGGCATCAAATGAGGTGTTGACAGCAAATTCACAGTGATAATAAATACCTACCCACTGTACTGTATTCACCAGATTAATTTACTGACAAATTTCATAGTGTAAAATAGAAAAACTAAATGCTAAAACATTTCACAGGTTTCCAAAGTTTACATTGCTCTCCAGATTTACGTTTTTTTTATTAAACTCTTCAATCACAAGCAGCCAAAGCAGCTCATGTGTGAGATAAATAATACTGCGCGTGTGAGTGAGAAAATATGCTGAGGCGTGTGTCTCACGCGTAATGTGTGAGACTTGGTAGGTATGGATTTACATACATAATTTCATGTATAAATTTATAGACTCTACAAATGATGATCATGAAGAATCAACTGGGAAGGAAACTATAGGTTTGTACTTTATATTGCCTATTTACCAGTAACAATATAATTTATTTAATTAATTTAACGGGAGTTTGTTATTATATGTTGGAAAAATGTCTCTCAATGATTGGGCAAATTTGCTCTTAAATTTGTTTACAAACTGCAAAGACCAATAAAGCAGAAATCATACCCACAATGCCACTTCTATTATACCATCAAAATTATGTGTATTGAAGTGATAGATGGTCCTTCCCTATTTATGAGATGCTTCCAGGATAAATGGCAGTAAAATTACCATGAGTTTCCCCAACTTAGCTATTCTATTACAGTAGATTTCACATAACTTTTCTGTGAATGTTGCGAACTTTGTTTCCGAACTTTGTTGTGAAGTTCAAAGTTCATACTGAAATTCACAAGTCTGTTTGTAAACAAAGCCTCTGATTGGTCCCTTAACAAAAATAAGCCAATTAGAGGCTAGGTTTACAAACCGACTTGTGAATTTCAGTATGAACTTTTGAACTTCACAACGAAGTTCGGGGCATGTAGCAAAACACTGACTACTGGAACACCACCGGAACACCACCATTTTGTTTGGGGTTAGGGTTTGGAGTTAGGCTTGGGGTTAGGGTTAGGTGGTGTTCCGGTAGTCAGTGTTTTACTACATGGCCGAAGTTCGGAACAAAGTTCGCAACATTCACAGAAAAGTTATGTGAAATCAACTGTAAAGAGAGTACAAGTACAATGTATGTTTTATAGATATATTTATTTTACCCAAAAATGGTGAATATATTGCATGTCTATGACAGTAATAACATTGTTCTGTGTATTGTTAACAAGATAAACTTTGGGAATGAAAAAAGCTTGTTAGCTTAACCCATTAAACTGCAGAACTTCGCCATTGCCAAGTAAAATTGTCTGGCATTAGACAAGTAAATAAAAAAGGAGGGCGCACTGGGGCACACAGCGGCTCAATGGGTTAACTAGAGACATTGTTAGATTTTGTTAACCCATTGAGCTGCAGAGCCTCCCCATTGATGAGTAAAATCGTCTGGTGTTAGACAAGGAAAAAAAAAGTAAGGCACACTGGGGCGCATTGTGGCTTAATGGGTTAATTTGTTTTGTCTGATTGTCAAATTTAACTTGTTCTACTGCTAGTTCCACATCAACTTGGGTGTCAATTATTTCAGCACTAATTATGGCTACTGGTCCCATAAGGCAGGTGGCTACCCATTGCAGGTATTTTATAGTAAAAATGCCTGTGCTGGCAAAAGTGTTCGCAAACCATGTGTGCTTGTAAAACATTGTGGTCCCAAAATGCAAGTTTCACTGTATATATGAGAACTCAACCTACCCCACCCCCCAAAAAAAAATAAGTTGGGGATTACCATTGATAGATCCATTGCAGTTATTACATGATGAACTTTTTACAATTTATACAGGCATTTTACCTGGGGATTTGTCTGCTAAAGCAATTGCTTATTGCTTTTGGCAAAAAGAAGTTGAAGAAGAGCTGGCATCTTTAGGGCTTCGAGATAAATGGGTATTTGGTAAAGAAGAAGGATTGCTGTCTGGGACATTGGAAATGGCAATGGGAATGATTGATAAAATCCGTTCTGAGCAATTGTACACTCATGTTTGTTCCACACATTGTAGAAGCAAAGGTATTTTTAACATTTTCTGATTTACAGTACATATATACATTAACTGTCAAGCGTTCCACCTGTCCTACTCATTTTACACCTACAGACTAATATAAATTTGATATATTTGTATAGTTATCTTCTATTTAAAACATTTGAGTATGAGTGTTTTATCAGATATGAAACACTTGACAAGATCTGATAAACATCTTACTTGTATAAGATCATCAGTTAAGGTTTGTGTAAGGTAAATGAATCTTCATCACATATAAAACACTTGATCAGTTAGTGATTTCTTGATGTTTTTCTTGAGTTAAGCTGCAGAGCTTCCCCATTGACAAGTAAAATCGTCTGGCATTAGACAAATAAAAAAATAAGTAGGGTGCACTGGGGCACATTGCAGCTCAATGGGCGGGGTTAATGAGTTTTTAAGTTGTAGTAACAATTTAATTGCTAGCATCTTGCTTGGGACTTGTGTCCTCAGTGTTTATGCTTTAATAAGTTCATGCTTTATGCTTTAATAAGTTTATGCTGTCTTCAGTGTTTATGCTTTAATAAGTGTTTATGCTTTTATGCCAAGTATTTGTCCCTTGTCGCCCAAGCGCGAGAAGCATTGCGTCAAGGCTGGCCAATTGGGTTATCCTACGGAATTAAAGGAATTTTATAAACATTGTGGAGTTGCTAATGTAGACATTAATTCAGGTTTGTTTGTTTGTTTGTTTGTTTGTTTGTTTGTTTGTTTGTTTGTTTGTTTGTTTGTTTGTTTGTTTGTTTGTTTTTTTGTTTGTTTGTTTGTTTGTTTGTTTGTTTGTTTGTTTGTTTGTTTGTTTGTTTGTTTGTTTGTTTAGTTGATTAACTCATTGAACTAGATATGAGCAATCCAAACTAGTCATTAATTAAGGGTTTATTAGGTTTATACATTGTACCACAGACTGTCAACTGAGCAGCATTTATATATATATATATATGTCACATTTGTTATAAACATGAAACTATTGGTAAAAAAAAACTATCCCATGAACTATTAGTCAAATCATGATCACTTGATATTGACCAAATTTCTTTCTAATAAGGATTATGGGGGAGACATTACATAATATCAAAGGGAAACACTGTACCGGTAATGTTTTGCTCTGTAATATTTCTCTCATCAACATTCAGGCTGCAATGTCACCCTCGGGCTAAAGCCCTCAGGTATATTAGAGATTTTGAGCATGCAACCTTTTTGAATGACGACAGCAGTTCTTGCTTGAAATCAAATCAACGTCAATGGCAATTTGATGCATGGGTTTTCACATAACATAACATACTTTAGGATGTATGTATGTATAGGGTATACATACATACACACCCACACACACACATGCAAGGTAAAATTGGTGAAGCTTAAATTAATAACTAAATATTTATAGAGAAATTTAGTCAATTCTAGACTTAATATAGTTATATATGTCTTTGTATAATAATTTGTAATTTGCTAATATTAATTTTTGTAGCACTTAAGAGATGCCATCACAAATTGTACTTACAGGTATTACAGTATAATGGATAGTAATTAACCAGTTGCTATCTCAAGTTTTTTTTCATTAAGCTATTTAATAGTAATTGTTGCAGATTCCACTGCTACTGTAGTTGCATTGTATTTCTTTTTTACAAATAGTATAATTTATGTAATAAAATAATATTTAAGTTTCTCAACTTGCTTGGAATAGTGGGCAACAACTTATTTTTGTTACCTTGTTTACAGATACCTTGTATGACAACATAGATGCATGTCTAGACAATTTTGCAGAAGCAAGTTATGATATCAACAATGACGATGTGAATGCATCTTCATTTCAAGGTATTTACTAAAATGCAGTGTGAGATTGTTGAGAATTAGGCTAAAAGGTCAACTATGAAAGCAGTCTCCTAAAGTATGGTGCATTTATTAAAGTAGTTACTGAATTGTATTGATTCTTCTTTTTTCTTATTTTCTCTTTTCTTTGTTTTTCTTAGGAAATTCTGATTTTCTAAGTTCAAATCCTGGTTTTGCTGAAGATCAATCGCAGATTAAAGAGACTGTGTGTAACAAAGATACAGTTGGTCTTAAGGCTTATCACAGTTGGTCTCGTGGTATATTTTTTACTGTGAGCGCAGGGGGTCACATTGAGTATTGGCAGCCATTATATAGGTATGTATTTATTTTTTCGTTTCACTGTTATATTAAGGAAGGGTATTAAATAAATATAGATTTGCAGAATTGCTAAATCCTGCATTTATGTTCCATTTTCATATCCTCTAACAATTTCCAAGAACCATAGTAGACACTGAAGTGATATTTTTATCAATTCTTAAAACATTTGAAAAAATAGATTCTGTGTTTTTTGTTTTTTTTTATTTAATAAATTTGATTTTATGAAACTATATTCAAAGGTCTGAGTCACCAACACAAGCTTTTTTGGTGACAATTTTGTGGTTGTACAGAAAAGTTAAAGATCTTAAAGAACACCACTCTGATGAAGAAATTAAGGAAGCAATGTCTTCCATTTGCTTGGCTTATGACAATATGTGTCATATGGACAATCTCTGTGTGTCGAAGTCAGATCTGCCATTGGCTGAACCATTCAACGAAGCTTGGAAGTTGATAGCAAAAGTCATTGATAGGCTTCACTTACGAAATCATGTCGATGCCAAATGCAAAGAACTTTATGATGCTGATAAAATAGTTCCACCTGGTTTCAATACAATGGCCTGTGAGCAAACATTTGTTTGGGCTAGCCGATTTAAAAAGGTTATTTGTGCTATGCATGTACACCCCCCCCCCCCCCATGGATGCGAATATGTCTGAGGGGTTGAAAAAGCCATTTCTGAGGGGTTGTGTGCATCAGCATCCTTTGATCTCTGCGTTTTTTCTAGAGGTAAGGCAAAACATTTTTAATTTCTGGGGGGGGGTTGCATCGGCACTTCTTTTTTTCTTTGGGGTTCAAATTTTAATGAACTCGTCCATAGCCATAGGGGAGTGTGTACATTAAATGGAATGGCCCAACACAAGCATGCATATAAACAGTTTTGTGTATAGTATGGTCAGTTAAAGGGAATCTCCACTGCTGCAATAAATATGAACTGAATACATAGTGAAATTTATCTTAAATGTATCCTTCATTTGTAATTTGCTTTGGAAGTCCATTTGGAAGTAGTTTGCTCTGAACCATGGAAGTCGCCATCATGATTTTGATGACGTAACCATAGGCAGCCCAAAAATGCGTGTTGAAATTTTTACCCTTTTACATAATAGTAAACTGAGTGGACTCAATGCATGTCTGAGCACCATGTGCGAGGGTAAAAAATTCAACACACATTTTTGGGCTGCTATGACGTAACTTGGTTGCTCGACTATTTGCAGTGACTATTTGTCGAGCAACCAAGTTACGTCATCAAAAATCGAGATGTCGGCTTCGATGGAATCAAGGTGCTGTAAAAGTACTCCCACATTTAAACTTATTGCCAGAAACCCTTCTACTTTTTGCTTGGCCGAGTCGACTTTTGTTACTATTAGGAAGGAACTGTTAGGAAGAAACTGTGTTAAAAGAAACAATAACTTTGCCGACGTCAACTGCGTTTTTTCACCGTATATATATACCTCTTCTATTTAAAACGATCTGACCTAATTAAAAGGTGTGTCCAAGATGTAAAATTTCGAAAATGGAGGGTCACTTTTGTATATGACCAAACTTTTGTATATATGGCACTTTCTTTAAAGCAAACGAGGGCGTTCATTCAAGAAATACTTTTTTCGTTCACTTTAGCCCAGAAAAAGGGCACTTATACATGGCCTCATTTGACTCCTCCTCCCGGTTCCGCGGCCTATAGACTCCTAGCCCAAAATTTCTATATTTCTATATTAATATACTATATTAATAAATAGTATCTTAATTGACATAGGCGAAATAGATAAATTTGTTTACCTACCTTTTGGCTCTATGTCTTCACCCATACCTATATAAAATAAACTTGGCATTCAATTTGATATACAATCAACACATTGCTGTGCAAACGTTTTAGGCACACCCTTTTTTGGCTCTCACAAAAGTCATACAGTTCTTACAAATAGTCATATCTAACTCAAAATGCAATAGAATGAGACATTAGCGACTAATCTGTGGTAGTTTTCGAAATTTGCATTGTAAACAGGAAGTACAGTTATCACCAAATGTATGGGATTTACAACCTTTTCCAAATTTTTAACATAATTTGAGCATATTAATTTGATTATTAAAATATTTTTATAATGATTCTGTTGCAAAATATTTGTAGTGTTATGTGAATGTTGAAAATTTTGGTGATAGCTATGCATTGTTTTCAGATTGAAGTATATTCAACTGAAAGAATCGCCATTTTTAATCATTCTTCTTTATTGCTTTTATTGGGAATTTGCATATAGAGGAGTTTGGTTATTTTGATTTTTCAAATATCAATAACTTACAGGGACGCCGGAACAATGTGAAGGCAAGGGGAGCAGATTTTTGTGAAAGGGCACTTTTGAATTGATATATACTAAGAGATGTTTACAAAACATTGGGAGTTGAACTTCGCCTAATCATGTTTTCTATTTATTAGATGATAGGGATGTGAGGGGGTTCTCCGCCAGGCGATTGTGCTATAACTGCACATGACTGCATTTCTTGCATTTTCTGAAGCAAATTCGTAAAAGAATAGCACTAACATTTCTGACAATTCGTAAAAAAATCATTATTACTATTCTTGTATGTTTATTTGTATTATTTCGTTATTTTATTCCCGTACTATTTTGTACGAGACAAAAAAGCTTTGCTCAAACGTTTGCACGGTAGTGTACATACTTGACATTGCATTGCTTATAGTTGATACCACTTTACGACTGCAAACATAAGACAATGCAACTACAAGCATGCAAAATAAAATTTAGTCATAAAATGAATGTGACATTGTTGCCAGTGTCAGTGCAGTCATTTAACATCACCACAACATACGCAAATCGTATACTTTTTGGGTATACGCACACTGACCTGAGTCATTTAAAGGAACTTGTTCCAAGGGTTTCTCCGCTTTTTCGACTTTCTATAAAAAAGAGTCATGCATGTTCACCAGTAATAGAGATTTCATCCAATAGTGATTATTTTTCGCTTGCATTTTGCTCAAATCCAATTTGGAATAGATTTCTAACGTGCATTGCATAGTTTTTTTCACATCTTGATAAGGTCTTAATTTTAGCTGTATCACAACTGTATAAAATGAACAGTTGATGTCATTTTAATTAACTAGTATTTACAGATGATGATAAACATTTATTTTTAACAGATTAGGAATTACAGAAAAGGCTAATTTTTAGTTGACAAGTGAAATTGTGTGTCTTAGGGACCATTTATTTTCTTCTTTCCAACAGTCAAACCCACACATACTACCAAGGGAGAAATGTGGACGGTCACAAATATACAAGTACAATATGAAAGAAGGGTGCGGTGCGACTTAATTTTTAATCCAGTTATTCTTACCAACAATAGCAGTCACTGCCTGTGCCACTACAGAGGTTCCAGATTTTGCGACGTCCACTTCATTATTTTTTTGTTTGAAGTTCCTCTTTCTTTCTTCTTAACTCATCGTTCTCTCTTTTTAGTGACTGGATTTGCTGTTCTAATCCGTCTATCCTTCCTTGTTGCTCCTTAATGCGTGCTATTCTTTTGTCTTGCTTCTTCGTTTGTATACCAGTCGTGAGCTTTTTCCATACGCCTGTAATGCTCCATATTTCATTCATCAATCTCTTGATTTTTGGTAAGACAATCTGGGCATGGACCAGATACTTCATCTTCGATGACGTTTTCTTCCAAAATACCCCCTTGTTTCTCTTCCCCCTTGGTGTCTTGATGGCCTAATGCTGTTGAATGAATATATGAATGTGCGAGTGACTAAAATCTGATTGGATCATGGATATAAATCTTTATGCCAATCCTGAAAGTTATTTAATGAAAACAATGCTTTATAAGTCTGCTAATTATCATGCAACAGATGAAATTCGGTATTTGCCATTTTATAACACATTTTCCTTCTTCAACAACTTGTGACATTTTTAAAAAGTTCTCACAATTAGAGAAAGCAAACAATTTTCAAAATGAGAAATGCATTCTAAGAAGAACATGTAAATATGGCGAATTCCGTACATGGACCATTATAACCAGCAAATTGAATTCATTAGCAGTTTTATATAAACACTAAAATATTCAATTCATGCAATATTTTCCCATTTTTGAAGGAAATCTTGCCACTGAAAAAATATCTGTGGCAACATGTCAGAATGGCTTATCACATGTGAGCACTGCTGACCTATTTATGTGGTTCTTCGCAAAAAATGACTTAACATAAATTACAAGATGTACCTGTGTCTAGTTCCTTCAATAAATCTCCATTGAATGCAGATCGAGGGACACGAACGCAACAGATCTTTTTTGGAGTGTTCAGAAAGCGTGATTGATAGTCAGTGGTGGCATTTTTTACGCTTTGGATAATTTGTCGGACGCTTTCATCACTTGGCGCATTCAGGTTTGCATTATTCATATGGTCTAAAGCTTTGGGGAGAACAAAGACAATAGAACGCGCCCCATCCATTCCATTCCTCAATCTAAAATCACACAACAATGATTACAACTTTGAAAGATAAATTACGTAAAAGGTATTTTAAGGGGGGACCTAACCTAAAAAGTATGCCATTTTACATTGAATTATAACATGCAGAGTATTTATGTAAACCATGTAAAATTATGTTGCACCTGACAACTTAAAAAAGCTAGAAGGCTCCTGCTTCATATGTTACTCCCTCAGCTTCCCTGAGGGCCTCTTCACAGCAAGTTCGCATTAGCTGGAGCCCTTGCCGTCGTTTCTTTGCTTTGTCTATTGCCTGTCGGTCCGCTTTCTTTATTTGCCTTTTGTCATTTTTAGCTGATGTCTGCTTTGTAAAAACTCCTGCTGGAATGGATAGTTTTTGCATCACCCTCACTCTTGAGGAAGCTCCACTGTGGAAGTGGCAGACGGAAGAGGCTACAGCGCAACGAATTACCTTTGCACCATGGTGCTTGTTCTTTGGACAACGAGCCCATACCAGCGCATTAATACTTTCATTACGGTTTTGTGTTGCACCACGTACACATCGCTCGAGAAGTTTCCTTTCACTTAGTGCCATGAAAGTTGGGCGTAACAACTCACAAAATACCTCTGGTAGACAGTCCTCTGATTGGTAGGTGTTCGTTCCAGTTGCAGTGTCTTGTTGCCACTTGCACCAGGAAGACTCTCCAACAGGACAGTAGCGGTGTTGTTTAGCCAGGTCTTTCGACTGGATGGAATGGTGAAGAATGGCAATAATATTTTTCTTCATTGTGTAAACAGCCACATCAACTTCCTTTTCTGTTGGGTTTTGGTTTGACAAGGTATTTTGTCTTATAGCAAGACCATAGTATCTTTGAATGCGCTTGATCCTAACCTCTGTTAGTCGGCCTTTACCTCCAATAGAATTGCCATCTGCAAGCTTGCCTTTGGTAGTTGACTTAAGGTTCAGGAGATGCTTATCCATTCTCTTTTGTATGCGTCCGACACAGTCTAACTTTTCAACCTTGCATTCCTCATATGTATCCTCTACAGCACTGAATGCTTTACTATCACCATCAGATACCATCCACTTGTACCTAATTTTGTGAAGTTCCACAGACGTATTCCACAATACTTTTGCACCTTCAGCTTCCATTGCAGGTGACCTACCTGTAAAATAGATGTCACATTGATTGGGAGAAATATGTTCAATCTGCCATTCTTGAAACTCCTCATCCGTTTTGCATTGACTTTTCTTCATGGTGCACTTACGACATTCTTTAGCAACATGCCTTCTTTCATGTCTTTATGTTAAATGCATTCTGTACTTCTAGGAATGGCAGTTGAAAATGCTAAAGTTGCAGAATTACACTGTATTTGCAAGCAGCCAGACGATGGAAGGTACCATTACAATTTGTTAAGATTTGCTAATATTAGCATGCACTTATTAAGGTTCGAATTTCCTTTTCTTATATTTTTGTAGATTTATGATTTGTTGTGACAGTTGTGACACATGGTTTCATGGTGATTGCATCGATCTTTGCAAGGAAGAGGGAGAACTACTAGAAGTTTTCTATTTAAAAATCTTTAAAAATCTTTAAAAATCCTAAAATATCTTCTTTCTTCTTTAGATGGCAGATTTCGTCTTTCAAGAAGAAAATCCGCGTTTTCTTCAGAGAAATGTCGAAGAGGAAGATGTCGATATAGATCATCTTGCCATAAACTTACCCGTTGATGACGAGCGAACAGAAGAAGTTCTAAAGTCGTTCGTAGGCAACGCAGTCAACCTTGGAACACGAAAAGGCCGAACATGGCATCGAGAAACTTGGAACTTCCTGATCCTCGCTTGGAACCCGTATTATTCTCACTATGCTGTGTAATGTTGTCCGCCGCCAGTTATGTGATTACTTCTCTCACCATGGCCATGTTGTCCTGCCTGCTGGAGATGATGCAAGTCACATTATAATCGGCCATACCAAACCCATACCCACGTTCATCGCCGGCCTCCGACACGCAGGTGTCGGTTTCATACGAATTATAAACTTTGGGATGAAACAACCACTTAACCAGCTACCTCCCTTACCCAGAGACCTTCTCCTTTGCGCAGCAACAAACAGCGGATATCCCGAGAACGAGTACGACATTTCTGTTTCCCACAGCGAGCCATTCTTATACCTTTTAAAGTCCTTTGCTCCTTACCCTCCAGGCGTCACCGTCCACCAATACCCCATCCTGACACCCCTGTCCCCAAACCGCCGCAGACCTCTTGGAGGAAACATCACCATTTGCATGGATGAACCCGAGGAAGTAGTCTCTATGAAGGTTTATAACCTAGTATTTCACTTGCTCAGAGCCTGCCACCCGGAGCCTCTTTCCTCTTCCGTAACCACCCGCCAAGGTTCAGCCCTTTTCGACACCCTAAATTCCATTATGAATGTTCTATCCGTTAATCATCACCTAGTCGGTGGCATCCGTCTCGGAGTAAGAGTTCAAATGAACCACGTTTCTGATGCTGTGGACCACGTGCTGGAAAGGCAGTTGTTCAACCCCCACCAATTCGGCGTCAATTGCCGCTACAACAAGGTCCCAGTGCGAAGATATATCCAATACGCAGAAGGATTGTTCCGAACAGCAAGAGCATTACTTTCTCGCTCTGGAGTGATCAGACATGATGCCGGTCGAGAGATGTCAAATCTTGAAAAAAGAGTATTTGGTGACCTCAAGCTGCTCCTGGGGTACCGGTTTGCAGGCTACCGCACCGTACCAGGAAGAGAAAACCCCTGGTGGCTGCAGCGGGTACCGGCCATCCAACAACGCCAGAACCCACCTCCGAATCCTCCGCCACCTCCACCACCATGTGCACAACAACCACCACCGGCAAACACCGGCGAACACCGACGACATTCTAATCGCCCTGGCTCGTCAGCACAGGAGGCCTGCAGGACAAAGAAGGATCAACTGGATAGATGTACACAGATACTATTCCATTCGTTTTCCTGAGTCGACATCTTCCAAAGAGCAACTAAAAAACAGAGTTCACACTCTCCAGAAGAAAAATCCAGCATTACTTCTTTGAACAATAACACAAAAACTTTGAACTCTTATATAAAAAACATCGAAAAACATTTAAAAACATTAAAGTAACCTTATTCATATTGTAAGTAATTCTAATTACAAATTCATGTTATGTTTCATCTTAAAAAAAAAATTTAAAAAAAAACAAAAAAAAAAACCGGATCCATACTCCGTTCTCCAGTCCAAAATTTTATGAGTCCAGGTTCATGAATTCGGTCTTTTTTGTCATCTGTCAATCAAGATACATACTATAGACTGGAGTGTGATTTCTGGATTCTGGACTGGGACTGGAGTATCAATGGTGGCTTCATAAAATTTAAACCCGGGTCAAACAAACTCTCGCTTCCGTTGCAACTTTCACTTGCGCTTGACCTGGGCTTAAGAGTGTTTGTAAATTGTAAATTTAAAATGAGTTTTTGGTTATTCACATTTAACATAAAATTGTGCTATACAAAAAGCTACGCATAATGCCTTCTAAGCTGCTTTTGAACCTCATCAAAACGATGCCGGTAGATCAAAGGTCAGTAGAACAGGGTCGTTTCAAACATGTAATTAACAATACTTTTGGCAGTTTTGATTATATTGGCTTTGAAACAAACAGAAAAAAGTTTAAAGATAGAAATTGACCTAGCGACTGTGTTTTGAACAAAGTCATTTAAGATATGGTTTGAAAACTCGTTAAACTTCAAAGCGTCTATAATCAGCTACGATCAGTGGCGTAGCAAACTCGATAATTGGGGGGCCAATATTCATATATTCGTGTTCTGCCTTATTAATTTCTTTTGAAATCGATTGTTTTTAAGGGCTGTAAACACGAATATATGAATATTGCCCCCCCCCCCCCAATTATCGAGTTTGCTACGCCACTGGCTACGATTTTATGTTGAGACGACTACACCGTGCACAATTCTTTTGAAATTTTGCTTATTAATATTTCAACAGTAAAGTTGAGTGATTCGGCGAAGCGATATTATTGGTTGATTGCTTCATTATGCAAAAAAAATCATTGTCTTCACCGTGCACAATTCTGTATAAACAACATAGTACAAAGACTTCGGCTGAGTTTCCAGTTTTGAAGCGACTTTGTTTCAAAGCAAGTCGTTTCCAGGACTCAAACCAAACAAGGCATTATATATAGCATGTGTGCGCAAAGCGATCTCTATCTAGATATGATCGTGTTTATATAACAACGTTCACATTAATGTTATTCACCTTGTAAAGTTATTTAAAGTTATAAGAAATTTATATGTAACGTCAACTGACATATGTACAAACTTTGTGTTGAAGCACATTTTTGTACCTTTGACCAGGGGGATTGTACGCGACAAAAAAATGACCCAGGGGACTTTCTTCATAACACCTGCCCCACCCCGCGGAGAAATCTTCATGTTTGCTCCAGGTTTTTTACAATCCCCCGGGTCAGCCCGGGGGTCCACCACACGGGGAAGCCAATGGTATGTGCATTAGTCTGTTATTGGCTCCTATTTATTTGAAAGAATAAGTTAAGGCTGTTATTTCTATGGACCTTTTTTGAGGGTTGTTGTTGCCTTCAATGCGAATACTGTACTCCAAATTGATACTACTTCGAGCAATTTTTCAACATGGTGTCATATATAATTTCAAATATTTATTATTAAATGAAACTATGCTGGAAATTGGATTTGCACAGTTTGACTTCATCCCGGCAACTGCAACTGTACAGTAATATATTGCACAGTTAGGGTTTTGATTTTTTTGTCTTTTATATTGTTTAATGTTCTATATATGCATAATTATAATTGTGGTTATTTTTTGTATTTTCCAGGAACATTGTCAAAGAAACATTCCTTTTCCAACATACATACAATAATGATTAAAATCTACTGTTAAGTTAATTGGTTCAATATTTTTGACTACTGTAATATCACATGACTATTATAATAGTAATATTGTAGTTTTAGTAAAGTACATACGTGAACGGCATGCCACAGCATAGCGGCCACGAAGGCCACACTTATAGCAACGTCCTAAATTTAAAGAAAATACAATCAATTTTCAAGAATATTCATTTAGGTTACAGTACATACTGGAAGTGCACTCACTAAGATGTTGATAGTTTACATTTTCATGCTAAACACAATATTTAACGAAATATACAGTACCATTACCCATTCTCCTTGCTTGATTTTCTAAGTTAGAAAAATAGAATCAAAATAAGTTAAATATATGTATATACCTGACAATTGGGATCATATACACAATTGAGGCCAGTTATTGAAAAGCAGGTTGGCCTATTTGGGTTAATATAAAATTCAAAGCAAACTTCACACAGGCTTCTTTGTAAAGTTGGAAGTAGCTTTTCATGGATCATGATAACAAGTTTAATTTTCCAAAGTTCTGAAATAAACAGATGTGAAGTTCTACTATATTAGAATGTGTTATAGTTTGACCCACAGCTAGTACTAATTGTGCGTTCAATAACAGACCTCATGAAGTAGTGTATAAATTGTTTCAAGAATTATACCGTCACGACATTGTGGGTGTCGTTCATGATTAACTGAAATGAAAGAATGTTGATTAGTTTGAATTACACAACAGAGGTATAATTAAACTTTATAAAGAATATACTATTACCATACCGTGGATTTTATTGTCGGTTTTGAACTGAAAAGAAATAGTATTACTGTAGTTTAATAGACCAAATTACACATTACAGATATAAGTATATTATCATTAGAACCATACCATTTGCATGTTCTTGTCAAGGTTCTTCATTCACTGAAATAAAATCATGTACGTTATTGTATAAGTAATAATATAATTATAAATATGATTGAACCAGACTGAACATATTTTATAAAGTTAACATACGTGGCTGGACCTCTCCTTCATCCTCTTTGTCAATATCTATAGTTAACTAGAAAATACATGCATGCAGAAACCCTCGCCTTGCTGACAAAACCATTTTATTTTCCGAACGTGAAGTATTTTAAGTAGTTGTCATGGTAACATGATAATTTTTTACGAATATTTTTACAAATGAAAAATCCCTATAAATATCAATTTCCTAAACATATATATGTTAGGTATGTTATTATACGTAATATAAGCTTGAATTTAAGGTAAAATTCAACCACAAACGCTTCGCAAAACGTTTTAAAATGTTCTTTTACTATAGAACTAAACTGCCTTTATCGATAAACTTTGAGTTCGAAATAAAATGATTCCAAATTCTCCCATGCAAATAACTTTGCTTAGTATAATAAAAAGTGTAATCAATAAAGAAACACTGAAATAATACGCTGTCTTGTTTCATATTTATACACAATGATCGGCTTTTAAAGTAATTACAGTAGGTATGTTATTATACGTAATATAAGCTTCAATTTAAGGTAAAATTCAACCACAAACGCTTCGCAAAACGTTTGAAAGTGTTCTTTTAATATAGAACTAAACTGCCTTTATCGATAAACTTTGAGTTCGAAATAAAATGATTCCAAATTCTCCCATGTAAATAACTTTGCTTAGTATAATAAAAAGTGTAATCAATAAAGAAACACTGAAATAATACGCTGTCTTGTTTCATATTTTATATACGCAACGATCGGCTTTTAAAGTAATTACAGCCGAGATTACAGTATATTAAAAGCAAACAATGCATCAATATTTAAAACAAACTTACCTTCGTTAACGTCGGCACCTTTACTTCCTTCTTTTAGCAATCCTCTTGCCTTTATTTCATCAAAAATCCTTTGCAATTTACAAAATCTTGCAAAAATGAAATATATTTGCAAGAAATCATCAAATCAATTTCGCTGTCGTCAATCGTCATGCAGCCGTTATAATGCCAATTTTAAATTGGACCAATCAGTGTTGGCTATTCTTTACAGTCCGCTATATTATGAGATCAGTGAGGATGACCAGCCACCAAAACACGCACAGTGACCCACGCCCGCGATATTTGATAAACTTTAGACTTCGCTAATGTTTCCCTTCCCCGGGTGTAAATAGCCAGGGGGAATTAGTACCCTCGCACGGCGCTTCGCGCTGTCGGCTCGGGATTAGAACAAAATGTTGCAAATATTCATAAGAAATCTGTAATATACTTAATCTGTAATATATTGTACATAATAATTCTTAATTATGAATCATTGTTGTATCATTCTAGAAAACATTCACAACTCTACCATGGAGAAAATAATTGAAAGTTAATCCTTTCTTGTTAATTGAGTACTTCAGATTTTATTAGTATAGGTAATAGCATGGTTTCGAGTGCAATTTGGATATAACATGCACAAGTGAGTTTCCAAAGACCTCAAAATAGCACGAGTCCGAAGGACGAGTGCTATTTGAGGTCTTTGAAAAACTCACGAGTGCATGTTTATCCAAATTTCACAAGAAACCATGCTATTACTTATTAATAATTTACATAAAAATGTTCCAGAGAATTGTAGTTTTAACTTATGCGTTTATAGCGAACATTCCACTGGCAAAGATTTCCTGGCCTTGTTATATCACATTATACAACACTTAACAGCTTGAAAATTCCACTCAACTATGTAATTTTTGTTAGTCTTGTTTAAGGTAATGCTTTTTCATTTAAAAATAAAGATAAAAGCTGTATTTTCCATGCGAAGGCAACTTTTACTTTGTGTAGTGCGGCGCCATGTTTGTTTTGTTCTGAATCAATCTGTGCAATCTTTAAACTAAATTGCTTTACACTGATCGGTTAATTTAATCATCACAATGTTTTTCCACCAATCAGACAGTTTGTTACAGTAAATGAAAAACAAACCCAGTAAATGAAGTTATTTTTACCCTAACATATATATTCTACAAATACTAGTGTAATTATTTTTCGGTCAAAGATACAGTGTATGTTCAAGAAACTTAAACAAATTTTAAAGGTTTTTTTTTCAGAAAAAACTTACTGTCAGTACTGCCTCACAAAAAAGCCAAAAACCAAAATTTTGTGCAGTTCGTATTTATGTGGATGTTGCGTATGAATTTTTGGTAATCATAGTAACACATGCAATATCCACAAAGAGTGATCTGGAGTGTCTTGAATATTATTCTGGGGCCGATTGTACGAAGATGGGATATAGTGCTGTGCACCGGATAGTGATTTTTTAACCTTTTTGAAACAATGGATATACTTTAGATGACTCAAGAAATATAAAAAAACATTTAATTTATAAATACTAAACTTTAATATGAGTTATACCGGTAAATCAACGACTGATTTAACAAAGCTTGAAAAATCACTATCCGGTGGATAGCGCTATCTTGGCCTTTGTTTAATAGGCTTCGTACAACCAGCCCTGTAGCCTTGATCTGAAGGGAACTGTTATTAATAGAATACTGAAAAACAGGAGAAAAAACTTACCTTTATATGAATTTGGTTCAATTTCTAAAGATATAAAATATTATGTAGAATACAAAATTTTAAATTTATAGTATATACGTCATAATATTATTTAATATAAAGTACAGGTATCTCAACATGCAACCAACCGCAAAATCATAATATATAATATTATGTCTAGGTAACAGGCAATGACAAAACTCCCTGAATGCCTTCCTCAAAAGGGAAGATTTTAGAGGCATACTACACCTCTAAAATCGTGCCTAGTAACAGGAGAAATAACCTTGAAAGCACAGTAATTGTGCCCAGTATACTGTACTGGTGCTTGAACACCACGACTATTGAACTTATGACAACTCATGACCTATTATATGTTTGGACAGTTTTCTCTGCACGCACTTTAAGTCGCTCTTCAGCTTCGAGTCGGTTTTGCATATTTTTACTCCTACCAATTGCTTTCAGACGATCAAATGTCATAGGTTCAAACACAATATCATGAAACGATCTCACCTGTGATGTACAAATGTGCATCCAGCAACTTTCTCCTTTACCTCCTAAATAGTGTCTGTCCTTGTGACTTACGAATGGTCATTGCATACCGCAAGGGCACTTGTTGCCTTGACAAGTACTTTCCATCAGCCATCCATTCAAACACTTTGGGTGGCACAGATATACATTTAGAACATGAATCTAAGAATGCAGGGCCAAGAGTAACTGTGGAAGTGTACCAGTACTGCTATTGGCAGGTTCAGTGGACCCAAATTCTCTGCAAACCAAATCTGCTCGATAGTGCCAAATGAGCCATTGCAGAGACCAACTTCAGCTAACAGGTTGCAAGTGAGCATTACTTCTGCTTTTGTGGATAAAAACAGAACGGCATCCAATCCACCAGCTTTGTCTGACGTGGCTGCACTGGCACCATGACGAGAATGCTTTGCCTGAATTTTAGTGACAGGTTGTCTAAGCTACAATAGCTTCTTGTAATTGTATTCAGCAACACTTCTTGTCAAAGTACAATCGGATGGCATCAGTGAATTGATCCATTGGTACATTTGTTGCATTCTCATACCCAGAGCCCTTTTTACGTGCGGTGCGACGTGGGGCTCTGGCCAAATCCATATCCGAACTGGCATCTGATTGGCTAGTTTTAACACTGGATATTGTTTTCTTACCATCATGTTTTTATTGTATCCGGTTATGGATTTGGCCAAAGCCCCTCGTCGTGCTCCGTTGACTGTGCGTAAGAAGGGCTCTTGGTACGAGAATGCATTTGTTGTTGAATGCTCCAACAATAGTTTCCAGTCCTCCTCTGTCACTTCTCCATTTCACATTCTCATCAGCAAGGCTCTAAAAGCACCTGCCTCAGGGTCCTCACCAGCCTGATACATAACTTGATCTAAAATAATGACAGTCTCAAACATCAGATACAGACTATGTCCATGGTCACTTACTACTGTTCCGTTATGGGGAGAATGATATATAATGCAAACAGACACATTTATATACTGAAAGAAAGCTTCGGATTAACAGATTCAACCCCCTAAAACTACAAGCCAAACTATGAGAGGTTTTGATTGTATTTTTCAGTGTTATGGTTTGCTTGTATTTTCATTAATTCAGTAGCATATCTCTCAATCTGAGAGCTTTGTATTGTTATCAACCAGTGTGAAAAGTTTGTATCGCGTGGCAGATATATCGGCTGCACAATTTTGATGCTTTCTATATATTTACTGATATAAATATATATTTATAAATACCCCTGGAAAATGTTGTATTAACATTAAGATTCAATGGATTATGGATTATTCCAGAAGCATCCCACAGAAGAAATGGAAAGTTGAACCCCTCTCCTTAGTACATTTAGGAATTTCAGTGCATATTATTATGAGATGAAAATTCCCCTCCCCCCCCTAACTTCCTGGATGACCCAAATTTCTTCAATGGGGTAGGTATCTTTTTTTTGAACAACCCAATATATGCACCCTGGTGTGGTCTACTTTGTCATTTTACTGTCTAACACCAGATTGTGTAATGCCCTAACAAGCTGTTAACCCATTAAGCCGCAATGTGAACCAGTGCTCCCTACTTATTTCTTTTTGCTTGTCTAGCGACAGATGATTTTACTCATCAATGGTGAAGCTCTGCAGCTTAATGAGTTAATATACAAATTACGTTATATTATTGTTATTATTGGAAACTTATGTTGTCAAGACTTCGAGTCTTTAGGCAGCAAGTTGTCAAGACCTAGTGTCTTTCGGCAGCTAGTGGAAACTTTTTCATTGTGAAAAATACAATTAAAACATATAATTAACTAAGTTTTATACTAATAATAATAATAATGAATTTATTCAGAAGTATTTCCATGAATGGCTCTTCACCAACTGAATCTAACTAAATACATATAAGACTAACTTATCAAAAATCTTTGAAATGCACGGTAGGATCGAAATAGGTTGAAAATGATCAACATGTTCTGGATTATCTATTTTTGGTATTGGACTAATCCGAGCTAGCTTCCACAACATTGGATATTTTAAGCTATCAATACAGTTATTAATAATAGCTGTTAACGGACCAGCTGAAAAAGGACCAGCTAAAAAATCAGCAGCAAGTTTAAGAAATATAACAGGTATATTATCAGGTCCTGTAGAACAATCTGATCTGGAATTCTTAATCATACTCAGTACTTCGCTATAAGTAACCCTACGTAGTTTAAACTGTTGAACATCGTTGAGTTCTGGTCAATTACTAATGAATTTAACCAATTCGTCAGATGTGGTAACCTCAGTATTGAGTGTACGACTTGCTGTTGAGCCGAAGGCTATATTTAGTTTTATTTCAGCTGGGTCTAGGCATAAAGACTGTTGGGTTGGTTTCACAACTCTATGAATTACTCTCCATGAATTACTCTCTTGCTGTTGCTTGAAGATAAAGCAGTTTCCATAAAACTCTTACATGCATTCCGTATCACAGTCTTCAGTTTGTTTCTAACCAACTGAAAGGCATTCCAGGAAGTATCCGAGTGAGTCTTGTGTGCTTCATATCTTAGCTTATTTTGTTTTGATTGTAGGTCACATATTTCTTCACAGTTCATCCAGGGTGCGGGTGGACACGTCATTCGATATCATCTCAGCAGTGTGGGTCGTTCAGTACTTTCAGTTAACAAGGAATTTCAAGTTGTTCATCTGGGTCATTTGATGAATAGACTAACGATAAAAGTAACTGTGCAACATCTTCCAAGAAAGTCTTTGCATCAAACCTTTGCATACTTCTGATATATTTGTATCGAGGTTGATAACAAGAAACCTGTATGTTTACACACGCAAATGGTCCACTGTGGTCGCCGACAATTCCACATGATATTACACCGGTATGAGTTACTCGTGAAGGCATGTTAGTAACTATATGGTCGATCAGGGTCCTTGTCGTTCTTGTTAGTCTAGTCGGTTCAGAATACAATCTGTTTCAGTCCGATAATAGTGTGCAGTAGTGGGTTGCGACAGTGTCACAGTCACCAAGTAGATCGATATTCATGTCACCAGTTAGGATTATCATACCATACCAATTTGTTGTTATGTGACTAAGTAGATTCTCTAGACATTCAAGCCATATAGAAGGAGTTAACATTTTATTGGATCGGTACATGACCCCAAGTAATAATCTACTATTTTTGTTTCTCCCTAGAATTTCTAGCCATAGATGCTGCAGTTCTGGTTGCATAACTTTTTATACTTTACATTATCCTTTATATATACTCCAACACCTCCTCCCTTGATTTCTTCTCTATGGCAAAATTCAGTCACATTGCCAGCTATAGCAACATATTCTTGAAGTTCTCTATGGACCTTTAGCCATGTTTCACTTAAAGTTATAATATCCAATGGATACGATTTAATTATGAGAGCAAACTCATTGAAGGTCGATACCATAGATTGTGTGTTTAAATGCATAATTTTCAACTGAGTGCTCTTTTCTTCAAGTGCTCTTTTCTTCAAGTGCTCTTTTCTTTAAGTGCTCTTTTCTTCAAGTGCTCTTTTTCTTCAAGTGCCCTGACATTTATGATGTTGTCTAACTGTCTTCTCACATATTGGGCATTTAGCTTCGTAGTTGTGCTGGAGGTTGGGCAGGGAAGTGAGTGAATATCTCCGTTCAAAATAAGCTGTAAAACTTTGTGATTATAAGAAGCAGTGCCATTAACTGAATACAGCACTCTACCCTTTAGAAAGTGTTTCACGATGCATTGTTTCATCTGCTTCGCTTCACTGATGTTGGCTACTGTCATTCGAGGTAGAATGCAAATTTTCGTACTTTTTAAACAACAACAAGCTTGCATTTTAAGTTTTCCTTGTCATAGTGTAACTTAACCTCGTAAGTTCCTGTTATTTTAGCACCAGCTTTGAACATGGAGCAACGAGTACTCGCATTCATAAAATACTTGCTAGTAAGTCCAATCAATTCATCTTTAAAATCAGTTTCAGTTATAGGTTGGTCATCGAACAAAGCAGTAATGTCCCATAAAAGACTTAATTCGCAACAAGAACCAGCAAAGTTCAACAAATATCTCCTTTGAGCTACATTATTCCGTTGAAAATCATATATCGCCGTTCGAATCCCATAAACCAATAAAACGAAGCCCAGAAAACGTAGGGGGAAGAGCTCACAAACTCTCGACTGACCTCCATTTTCTATAGGGCCAGTCTGTGAGTAGTGGAAACTTATGTTGTCAAGACTTTGAGTCTTTGGGCAGCTAGTGGAAACTGTATTGCAGTATGAAAAATACAATTAAAATATATGATTAACTAAGTTTTATTCTGTGAGTAGTGGAAACTGATGTTGTCAAGACTTCAAGTCTTTGTCAAAGCAGCGAGTTGTCAAGACATATAGTGTCTTTGCTTCAAGAGGTAAGAGTGTGAACAGGACTCTAAAACCCATGCAAGGTAGTCTCCTGTTTCAATTAGATTTACAATGATAATAATATACAAGTACACATACATACCCACCAAAGTGGACATTCGTCCGACACCTGTTTCCAAGATATATTTCGATGCTATTTGTCTGACAGACGTCAGGTCGGTCAGATGTATTTTCCTTGTTCTTTAAATGTGCTGAACTCACCTTATACGCACTATCACACAATCCTTGAAGATTCAAACAAGAAGCCATATTCATGAAAAACATCAAAACCATATTCAGCTAGATTCTTTTACTATTAGATATTAGAGTTTTAATAATTTAAAACAAACTACGAGACTGTTGGGCTGTTTACACCTCGCTATTAAAACAACAATCATTATAACCACACATATGCAAAGTCCCACATGTACCACATGTGAGTTGAAGTCTGGAACATGGACAGACCCAGGCATTAAATTACCTGAGTATTCTCTGAACTTACCAGTCCACAGAAAACTCCATTGCCAATTATAGGTGATGTATAGGTGTCTACCAATAATTTAATGTGTTTTAGCTTCCCATGCTGTTGGCCTTGTACTGCTCAGGAACCAATATTGCTACAATGGCTTTTGTTTGTTTCATTACTTCCATTTCCTTGCATACAGATTTATAGCCAGTGTTGTCCATCATGTCATATTCCTTAACGTTGGTGATCCACTCACAGTTCTCCTTTATTGTAGTGATGAACAGCTGCATTGCCATTTCTGTATAAATCGTCCATGTGATGATGAAGATTTATTGCCGGTAGAAATCCATTGAAGTTTATTTCCCCATTATCTTGCCTCGGGAATGTCCCAATATTTAATGGCATTCCATCATAGTGAACACAAGTGAAACACTTCTTAATTCCATTTCCTTTATTGGTTGGTATGCCATCAAGTGTGTTCAACATAGTTAACGGTAGCATATACATAACAGTGTTATATGTTGATGGAGATTTCTTCAGGTCTAAGGTGCTTACCGATGGGCCAGGAAAACAGTACTTAAGTAATGGTGCAGCTGTGGTACCTTGATCTTTATAACCATACCATTTCTAACCAAGGTAAAAACGCTACCCCTGGCTTGTTCCAATGCTAAATGGAGATTCACAAAAGCTACACAAAGTTGACAGTAGTAGTAGTATTACCCTCACCATATGGGATCATTTTTCCCGCCATATTTTTATAGGATCGGAAGTGACGTCATGGGGTTAGGGTTGGGTGTGGCGTACGTACGCGGTGTGTTTTTTTCCGGAAGTGTGTGTTGGATATCCGGTGACGTCATGTGTACGTACGTGCGTACGTACGTACGTGTGTAGTTTATATAATAATTATTTGGGATTGTGCTGTGACAGCGGAATGTGCTCGGAGATGCGCTACTTGTTGTGGCAGTCGGTAGTGATATTAAGAAATTATGTCAAGATTATATTTCTTTATTTATACGCGTGTAAGATTTAAGTACCTTGTTATGGGGGAAAGGCGTACGCAATGCGAGTGTGGAGTTATATTGGTGTGACGTCATGTGTACGTACGTGCGTACGTACGCATAAGGTATAAAGGACTGATTTTTTTATTTGTTTTTTGCAGTGTAAGGATGAATTGTTTACATGGAAAGCCTGCTGCGCATTCAACAACGAGTAATGGAACATTCTGGTTCTGTGGTGAGAATCCTACCTGCAATTTCATTTGTGCTGATAATGAGTGTTATATGTTTGAGAAGGCGATAACGGCGTGGAGGTGTACGGAGCAGCCGCACCCGAGATGTCGTGACCATAACAAGCTTGCTAAATTGTGTGTCGTGAAGGATTTGATGAAGGAGAGTTATGGGAGACTGTTCTTCGTGTGTGGTGAAAAAGGAAAGCGGTGTTCTTTCTGGATGTGGGGAGACGTGTATCCCGTTGCGAAGCCAGAATGTGATCATGGATTACCGTGTGTAGTGCGAAAGGTGAAGAGGGATGGGTCGACTGTTTTTCTGAGGTTGAACAAGGGTTGACTGTTTTTCTGCTGTGCAAGTGATGAAGGGAACAGATGTCGATTTTTCGAGTGGGCACCTGAGGAACGCGTGGGATGTCTCCAGACCGTCGACTTTACGAAGCAACCGTTGGGAAACAGGGGTTGTAAAGGGAACAGTAATTTAGCAGCTGATTTTATTAACAAGTTTTCTGGCGAACTGGAAATATAGAAAAGTTGTATTGTACGAGTAAAAAAAAAGAACTGGAAAATTTGTATGAATAAAAAAGTTTTTTAAGTGTTTTCTTGAGTGAATTTGTTTTTCCAGGAGGGGATGCATGACGTCACGGTGCGTACGTACTTGCTTTTGCGTACGTACGCAAGTGGTACGTACATACGCGATCCCGCGTACGTATGCATGTTTGTAGGCGAAAGGGTGAAAATGGACGTGATATTGAGTGAACTTAGGGCTGCCGGCGTGAATTATATTGATATTGGTATATTAACGTATTATATTAACGAGATACGGGAGCGTCACAGTCCTGTGTACGACGAAATGGTGGCGATAGTGAATCCTGAAGGGTTTCACAGTATATTTAAGAGCATGAATGTGATAAATTTTGGTAGGGCAATGGCCTATTTAGCGTTTGTGTAGATGCTTCTGAGGAACTGAAGCGGGAAGCTGTTCGTTTGGTGGCGGAACCGTTGAGGAACATGGTGGATTAGTGACAGGGGGTGTCGTGCTATATGGAAGCGTATATTTGGTTAAGGTAAGTAGTACATACTGTTAGTGCAATGGAAGTGATCCTGAGCGAACTGAGAGAGGGCGGTGTTGATATTGATATGGTAACATTGTCCTATTAATGGTTTGAGGCAATTGTCTGTGTATGATACTATGGCTGTGAGAGTGCAGCTGCCGGAAATGGTAGTTATTTTTGGCGTTATGAATGTGACCAGTTTTGGTAGAGCAATGGCTTGCTTAACGTTGGTGCATGTAATGGATATTTCTGAGGAGACGAAGCGTGCTGCTGTTCGTTTGACCGTGGGGGTTCTGAAAGAGTGTGATTTGAGTTTATACCGTATAGCGAGGGAAGGATGGTTTCGTAGATTGTTTAGGCGTGTTTTTGGACGCTAAGGTAATTTATGTTTTTATGGGGATTCCTAGGTTTAGGAATCAGGACGTTTCAAACAACAGTTCGCAAATAGGCCAGGGGCTGTGGGCCCTTATTTTTCGACCGTTTGATAAACAAATGGACGATGAAGAAAAAATAGAAGTTTGTCGATCGTCAAATGGTCGAGCAAGGAGAAGGAAAGTGTTACTGGTTTGATAATATTGCGGTATAAGTACGTAAAAGTTGTGTGTATTGATTACGGGAGGGTAATTATTACGAAATGTTACAGTTTTGGAAGCCATTAGGTGAACGATTGTTTGTTTGGGAATGGAAGGTTTCGATGCTGCTAAAATTTTGGTCAATATGAGTAGGGCAAGTGTTTGTGAGGAGGTGAATGGAAACGACAGTTCGTGTGAGTTCCGGGTGGCCAACGAACGTGATGTAGAGCGAGTGAGGAATGAAGTACGGGTGGAAAGTGACGGGAACGTACCGTTAATACCTGTGGTTCGGCCATTAGTGTTTCCTTTTTGGGGAAGTATGGCTTTGCCCGTACCGCAGCAGTTACTTGTTGAACCTGTAGTTCCTGCCCCGTTAACTGGGGTCTCGCCGCTTTTAGTGTGGCCTGGTATGTATGCCTAATGTACCGAATTACTAGCGATAATGTTTTATATTTATGATTTTGTTTTGTTGTTTAGAAATAGTATCAAGGAGACGTACGAGGCACAGGTTCTCTGGAGTGGAGCTGGAGATTTTAGAAGGGGAATTTAGCAGTGGTTTGAGGTATCCTTCTGTTGCTGACAGGTTATGAATAGCAAGACGATTGAATTTGACAGAACGTACGGTGTATATTTGGTTTCAAAACAAGAGAGCTGTGGGGAAGCGCAGGGCCAGCGAAGGAGATTGTTAGTAAAGGAAACTGTTGTTAGACTGCTATTTTTTCCGTTTAAGGAACTGTTCGTAAGAAAGTTTTCATTGTCTTCCGTTTAGGGGAGATTGTTTGTGAAAGTTTCCCTATTTTTGGTAGGGATTCCTTATTGTAAATTAAGAAAAAAATTTATTAAATAATTTGTTGTGAATTGTTATTGACATGTGTGCTTGGGTGTTTTTGGGAATTTTGCATGATAGGGTTTGGGACTATAAAGTTTTACGGGTAGGTATGGTAGGGTTTATTGTGTATTTCGCACAGGTGTGTGATGGATGTAAGATTCAGGACCCCTGCGAATTTTTTCATTTGTGGTCAGACGCAGAGTGGGAAATCCTACTTAACGCGTTGTATACTCCGGAATGTGGGGGAGCTGTTTGATCCCGTACCGACAAAAATAATATATTGTTACGGAGAATACCAGAAGGAATTTGAGGAATTATCGCCCAGTGTTGAAATGATAGGTTTTCCGGACGATATAGGCAATCTGGTAAAGGGTCATGGAAACTCACTTATTGTGTTGGACGACTTAATGTCCCAGTGTTCTAGTGATCAGCGCGCCGTGGACTTGTTTACGCGCGGATCCCATCACATGGGTGTTTCCGTATTGTATCTGACACAGAATTTGTTTCCCCCGGGTAAACTGTCGTGCACAATCAGCCTGAACTCGCACTACATGTTGATTTTCCAGAATCCTCGCGATTCGTTAGGCGTATCAACATTGGCTAAGCAGATGTTCCCCAAATGTACCGATTACTTGCTGGAAGCGTACGGCGATGCCACAAGTAAACCGTATGGATATTTACTGATTGATTGTCATCAGTTGACGCCTGATTGCATGCGGCTGAGAACCAATATTTTACCAGGGGAAAGACAAGTAGCATATGTGAAACGTGCTTAAAAACCAGAACAATTGCCTACCGGGTTCATTTCGAGAATGTCGAAGCGTATGAAGAGAAGTCTTCCGTACCTCCAGGTTATGGGAACGTGTGGACCAAAGTTGCATAAGTTTATGGTGAATAACGTTCCTGCCGAGGTGATATCGGCAATTTGTGAGTGTTCCCTGAACTTGCTTAAAGGGGTTGTTCTGTTGACGCCCCGTCAGAAGCGGCGCTTGATTCGCTACAAGGCACACCTCCGTGACCTGGCGAATAAGAGGGTATCGCGGAAGCGGAAAATACAGCGTCTTAACCAAAAGGGCAGTAACTTACTAACGGATCTTTTACCCCCCGTATGGGAGTACTTGGAAGCCTGTTGCTATGAAGCATACTAAGCGTATGGTACTAGTTCCCGAGGACGTACTGGGTCGGTATGAACGGAAACAGAAGATCGAAACGTCTCCCCTTGTGATGGGTATGATGCAACAGGATGCGGCTATGTCCGGAATCCTGGAGAATGAAAATTTAACGGATGCGGAAAAGCAGAAGTTGTACAATGCTAGAATGGAAGATTACCTTAGCCTGAGGAAACAGAAGGACGATCAGATACCGGCAGTCAGGGTGACCCGGGACGAGGCGTCGAAGGTACAGGTGGAACCTCTCCGGGACGAGAGTGTAATTGCTCATTTGCCCTCGACACTGCGTCCGAAGGCTGCGGCCTTATTGGAACGCTTGAGGGCAAATCCGGGTGTTATTTCCTCGGATGAGTCTGGAAAGGTGAAAGTGGATGGTACGGAGATTGCTAATTCGAATATATCCGATTTGGTTAGTGATGCCGTGAGGGCAAGGAAAACGTTTAACCCCACGGGGACATGGAGATTCTTTCAGGGATTGGCCAAGCTTAATGTGCCCAGGGATATCGCCGGCAACAGGAAGAGATGGGAGGAGCTCGGGGAACCCGGCCCTAGTAACAGTGGAACGCCTCCTGTACAGGCATCTCCCCTGCAGGTACCAGAGCGGGAGACACCGGAGGATAGGGCACTGCGTTTCCGCCAGTACCTGCGGGGACGTTTGAATACGCCAGTACAAGGAAACTGGATTAATTAGTAGGAAAATTATTGTAACGGTTCTTATGTGTTTGTGAATAAAATAAACGTTCTAGAAAGAAGTGGATTTTATTTGTGTGATTTAGTAAAGGTTCCGAAGGGGAACTGTCCCAGAAATTTTTTTCGTGGAAGAGACGAAGCCGCACAGACGAAAAGATTTGCTAGCTGTAACTAAAAAGTAATGGGTTCCGGGCTTATAAGGGTAATAATTATGCGGTTGGCATGTGGGACGTGCACAGATAGGCACGGAAAAAGACTGTTCTGCGACGTTCCTGCAAGATTATATGAAAGTGTTTTCCTGTTTCGGTTTTATGTGACGGTTTTGTAAAAAAACCATCGTAAAAATTGTGTGTTGTTCAATACAGTATACACGTGAGATTTTTGATAAACACATATTGATAGGGTTATGGGCTTATAAGGTGCACAAACGTGCGGTTAGCATGCGGGATATGTGCACCGCACATATCTGGTGTTAAATCAAAGGCGTATATGGCATAACCGCTGGCAAATTCACTCCGGGTTATGTCGTTTCCAGTGTTATGATACATTTTTCCCGTACCAGAAAACATGGTGGCGTAGGCCTCGACGTACTGGGGTGCGTTACCAAAGGCAAGTTTCATAGGTTTAAAGGGCATTTCCTCTCCGTTGACGGTTATTCCAATGGAAGACACGCTAAAGTGCTTGAAGTTAAACAGATTTTTCTTGGGGTTACCATTAAAGGCGTCACCGTCAACTAATCCGAAAACAAGCGCTCTTGGTACAAGTCCATTAAAGAGGTTATCCTTGCGAAGGGACGGGTTTCCTCCGGGAACCGTAAAGCTTTTGCACTCTACACGACGAATGGGATAAATAGCCGGTCCGTTCTTGAGTGCAGTTTCATGAGCCACTGCAATGCTGGGATTTACCTTTACCTTGCGCACCTTGAGATAGGCATCTGTTAAGTGTACCCGGAAATCACTATCATTCTCGGAGGCCATTAGGCAGAATGCATTGCTGCTTCTATTGAGAACAACTTTCAAGTCGACATAACTCAGGAGGCGGCGTTCGGACATGAATATGTCACTGAAGAGAGGGCCTGTCATTTCGATGATATTGCTCAGTTTGCTAAATATGTACCACTTCCTGAGACCAAGGCTGGGATTTTGATCATTAGCCAGGGTGGGATCTGCGGCGTCCATTTTTCCTGCCGTATCCTTGTAGTATAGGGCAGTGGTAAGCTGGGAATCCTTTGCGGGATGCATTGCTCGGAAGCGTGAGGTAAAAGTGTGTTCCGCTCATAATGAATCCCTGATGAAAATAACAAACGAGCAGTATGTTCAACGGTTTAAATTTTATTTATTTCAGAAGCGGGTACCCACAAATTAAATTTATGGGGGTACCCCAACCATTTTACAAGATAATGTACATTATTGCCTCGTCCACGCTTCTTCAGGATCTCCTCAATTTCGTAGACGTCGTCATTGTTAATGATCTTTTGTAACTCTTTCTCGTAAAATGTTCCTTTGAGTTCCTCACCGTCCAGATCCTTTAGTTTGTACACTGGAGGATCACGAGGTATTTGCTTACTTATCGTAAAGATTTCCCTGGAGAAATTCGGCAAGTATCCTTTTTCAAATGTTCGTTTCATCTTGCTAATTCTCACTTTATCGCCGATCTTGTACTTTGCATTTTTCGCTACATTATGTTTGTCATACAGGGTGTGCCACACTTCCTTTTTGTTTGCGGAGGTAACATCCGCGGGTTTTGCCTTAATACTCCGGTGAACGCTGTGGTTATAGGAATAGACCATGCCGGGAAGCATGTCCACGTAACGCATGGTTTTGTTGGCCGTGAAATAACGCCACATTCTCGTTTTTAGGGTACGGATTAAACGTTCCACAATAGAAGCCTTTGTCTTGTTGTATGTATTATACAGTTCAATATCCTCATCCTTCATTAGTGCCCGGAAATGCCTGTTTAGGAATTCGGTACCCTGGTCTGTCATAATCTTTTCGGGTTTGCGTCCCGATGACAGGATAACCTTAAAAGCCTTGACGAGCATAGGACCCGTCTTGTCCTTTAGTGGAATAACCCATGCATACTTGGAAAAGACGTCAATACATACGAGCAAATAACGGTATCCATTGTTGAATTTTTGCATGGACTGCATATCGGCCAGATCCATTTGCCATTGTTGATCAATACCGTCCACAATAACGCGATTTCGTTTAAAGTGGCGGCGCATCGGTTTATGCAGAGTTGTACGCATCCTGTTGCATGAGCCACTCCTTAACCTGTTTTCGACTTATTGCAAACCTGCCATTTCCTTTAACATCCCTGTACAAGCGCTCCACACCGCCGAACCCCCCTGGCCCTTTTGGGGTCGTAATAGACACTAGATAGGTAGTCGTCCATGATTACACACAAAATGAGGAGGAATCACTATTTGTTACCGTTTTGAATACACTTCTCCCAGGACTGTCCAATAGAATCGTTACCCAGAATTGATATTGACAATAAGAAACTTGTCCTTTATCACCGCCAAAAGTGTATTATTAGGAAACTACTAAGGGTCTCCGCCGAGGAAATTACATCCATTATTTCACAACTGGTTATCGAAAATTGTAACGGATGTACGGCACAGCATTTATCCCAGACACATCATCAGTGCCTTACCATGGAAAGGGACGAACAGTTATGTACGTACTTTGATCATGCTCTGGATAGGGCCTCTGAAAAAAGGGTAATGGAGGCTTTCACCGCAAGTCTGGGTGATATGAAAGTACATTATTCCGAACTAATCGAATTCACACCATTGGAAAACCATCTTTTGTGCAGAACATAGGCAGGCCCTGAAACATGCGGTCTTTCAATTATTAAACTAGTATAAGAAGCGCAGTACCTTCTCACTAAGCCATGATAACATCCACTTGAACCAGCGTAAAGCTATATAAGATCCTGATTCCCTGCACCCCTGCATCATTCGGAACAGACATGTCCTTCAGGTCTATTGTGGAGAAGGAATGGCCCCCTGTAGATTCCGTGCAAGATCAGTGCCGTTTAATGAATGCGATATGTGCAGGTATCGTAACCTCCAGGACCAGGAAACTTTGCAAGCAATTGGAACTGTCCGAAAAAGAGGGGTGGTCCCTGTATGGTCTACAAATCGTAAAGCAAGTTATGGAACAGGGCGTTCTCTGGGATCACCTGTTCGAAATCCTCCTTGTTATGGATAAAGAGTACATAAAGGGCGTAACGGAACATTTCCGGCGCCTGAATGAAAACCATTTGATAACACTCGATTTCCTGGACAATCTACGGCAAACGCCGGAATTCTCCGAGTATCGGTTTGTCATGTGTTACCTTTCCTACTGGGAGTAAAAAATCCGTAACGTTTCCCTTTCCATTATCATTTCGTGCAACCATGCCCTGGAGAAACACTATTACGCACTGGCTATCCGGTAAACAGGTTATGCAAAACGGGAACCTGGCAACAGTGGAAATAATCAAATTACTAATCAATGAGAATAGTATTCCACCGGTACTTGTGAATAATGCTACGTTACATTCCATTGTACTAACACAAATTATACTCGAGATACTGACTGGTATCACCGTACCCCGGGTTTTCCAGGGAGATAGTACGGATTACCAGATGGACGCCAGGGAAACGATGTCAAATCTGGCTGTGGCAAACGAAAAACAGGTCCTGACACTGGAAAGGGAAACAGGCGTGAACCTAAATCATTACTACAAATTGAACATAAACAATCATTAACAATGGAACCGAAAGTTCCGTAAATATATGTATTTAGATCAAAATTGAACACATTCTGTCGTTAATACCCATACGGTATTGTTTTGTAGTCATCTACAATTAAACGTTTATCATAAACTATTTTATAGTCCTTTTTCATGCGTTTCGTTTCAATGTTTTTCTCCCTTGCATTCCTGATTATCTTTAATGGAATGTCAACCGTAACTTTTCCTGTAACATTGCATCTGGCGTGAAGGTACACCAGCGATTGAATAACATCGAAATTTACCTTTTGCTGTGCCGAGCAATTCAGTGTAATTCCCCGTACTTTCGTCTCCACTTTACCCGTGCTGGTTTTATAACAGTAATTCTTTGGTCCCCTGGAAACAAGGGTCGTAATGTAACCCTCCTTTAGTTCATTAGTTAATTGACCCAGATAAGGGCCCAAGGGAGGTTCGGGTTCGCCAGGTCTACTCACAAAGATCACCGAATCCGTATCGTAATACAATACCCGTTCCTGGAGCTGGTCCAGCACGTCATACAATTTAAGACGAGCGTACGCTGTGGTAAAGGCAGCGATGACTACATTGGTCTTTGCGTCGGGTTCCACGAAGTTGTCATTATATTCATAGTGAATTTCAACCATTTCGTCACTCACAAACCTTGCATTAAGGACCTTGATTTCGTCCGATGTTAAGTAATCGAAATACGTTCTAGGATCTTTTACCAATTCCACCTTGGTCATATTGCATCTCTGTGCGAATTTACCTAAAAGAGAAAAGGGGTACAATGTAAACACCTGTTAAAAAACGGGAGCTACTGCGTGGCCCGCACGCACAGTAAATAATATACGTACCCCAGAATGAATTCAACATTAATTTGGCCAATGCTCGCATACCGGGATTGTACTCGATCTTTTCCCTGTCCAATTGTATTCCCTCGACATCCAGGTACTCGTCGACGTACCGTTGTTTCTGCTCCCCGGTGACACAATTCCCAGGGTAGCCGCTGGATTCCTGCTTGATCTTTAGAAAAGTATTTACATAATCCTTGAATAATTTGTCGGACGTTTCAGGAAAATGCCACACCTCGTGCACTTGCATAATACGGTAACCCTTTTCCCTAGCCTTTTCTAACTCGACACTACACCATGTTCCCCGAATGGACCTCTCGCCCTCGGAATGAGTACACAGTGTCAGGGCACACGCGTCTGCACACGACCTGCACAGGGGAAACATTAGTTTACCCTGGGTACGGTAGGGTAGGACGGGATGGAATAGTCCCCGTGGAGGAAGCACAGTACACTTGATCAGCCCGAAATACGAGGAAATATCATCAAAATTCTCGGTAATAATACGAGGGTGACCAATCACTGTCCGTGTCATTTTATTACACCATGGATACAAGCTAGTAAAGTCGGTGTATCTGGACAAGAAAAAGACAAAAAAGGGAAAAAGAATATTTAACTGCTTGCAGTCCTACGCCCCGGTGCTGCGCACATTTCCCGGAACATACCTTATCTCCTCACCCTCCTTGCATTCGTGGAAAAGCTTCGTTGCATTGGTTCGTCCACCATAGAATTCATGACACGGTTCCAGGGGATCCGTAATATCGTAATCATTAAAGTACCCCCGCATGTCTTCATTGCACCCTAGTTCCCGATTGATTTCACATTCCCACATTTCAATAACATTAAAACCGTGCTCCCTAAGGTATTCGGTCTTTTGCACAGTAGCCTGATAAAGATTGTGCATCGTTTTCCATTTACACTGTTCACCGTATCCCTGGCATAACAGTTTAAGCACCCTGCAAAAGAAATGCATAACCGCTTAAACAAGTACCCTTTTTTCCTTACCATGGGAAAAGAGTCCCTAGAAAAAAATCGCGATTAGTTTCCCCTTTAAACGGGAGAAAGGAGCACTTACCGTGCCAGAAACAGCCGTGAAATTTGTACGCTGTCCGCGTTTCCTCATCGTAACCATCCAGGGAATAGTGTCCAACCGTTTTTTCTCCACCATTGCGCTTGTGACGAATGTAAACATCATTCCTTTCGGCAGTATACGATAACCATTTCAAAGCAATATTCGATTGCTTTGTTCCGGGATGATAACCATGAGGAGGCAGGATAGCAATGGTATTCTCTCTCAGGAAATTCGTCCGGAACACAAGGTTACATGCCGACACTATCGTAAGACACTTCTCGAACGGATCAATGTTCGTAATATCACGGAATAATTCGCGAAATTCAAGGCTGTTGCCGACGCTATCGTAAGACACTTCTCGAACGGATCAATGTTCGTAATATCACGGAATAATTCGCAAAATTCAAGGCAACAGCGACGCAAAATATCCACGTCCGATCGACAGTACGTTAAAATTTCCTCCTGAAAATTGAATACATAATTATTCGCTACCAAGTTGCCATGCCATTCCATAAACTTTTCCCTGTCCGATGGACTCATCCCGCTGGGGTGATAATATGGACTAGGTGGAAGGGGTCCGATGTAATTACGATTTTCCTTTCTATTGAACAAGTGGGGAAAGTATCCCTTTACCAGCTCGTCCATACCAAACGTTTTGGGAAAATCGGCCAGTCTCATGGGTGTCGCTTGCTCCGAGAATGAGATGGATTGGAAGCTTGGGCTTTTGGTCCTTGTCATCCATGGTCACGCCTTCGAGATGTGGTTACTTGGCGATTAGTTGTTGGTAGTGTGGGTTATCAACGTTCAAAAGTTCGGACTTATCAACTTTCAACTTATCAACCTGCTCCTGTGTCTAGAAGCGCGCGACATTTCACACCTTCAACATTCACAACAACTACTGGGTAAGCTAACGGTATATCACTACTTTCAGTGGTGGTTAGTAATGGCTGTTGTTCTTTCGTGCAAATAGAGGTGTGATGTTTCTGGTTACAAAGTTGACAATTTAAGGTACTTTTGCAGTCTGATGCACGATGTTTTGCACCAGCACAGTTAAAACAAAGTCTACGCTCGGCGAGAAATTTCTTTTGGGCTGAAACTGAGGACATTTTCGGACAACTTTTTGACAAATGGCTACTATCTTCACAATAAACACAAACTCGCTTTTTTCGATCACCGTCCTTTGTATGATAAAAATCAGATCGTGGTCCAAACCGTTTTGGTGGTGATGATTTGTTATTATCTTGATAATTATTCTCAATTGGATTAACATTTTTCCACTTTTTCAACGCCACTACTAACCGCGGGAGGTCCCAGTCTTGCCACCCTTCTTCCCCCCGAACTAGGTCAGCTTTAATTCCCTTTAGTTTATCCAATACATTTCTCGTTGTACCATTGACCCTCTCTATTTTCCCCAATGTTTCTAACGACTGAATGTTATGAGAAAGTGTTTTGTAAAACTCATGCACTTTCGCTGGACTCGATCCAGTTATAACAGGTAGGCCCATAATATTTTGAATGTGAGCATTGATAATCTCGCTGGATTTTCCGTACTCGCTCTTTAATACATTCTTGGCTCTCTCATATCCTTCAGTCGTAAAGGGTAACCCATCAATATCTACTCGTACTTTTGGTTCTAATAATTCTTTTAGATAACCAAACTTTGAAACTGAGGGTAGGTCGACTGAGTCTATCTCAGCTTCAAAAGTGTTCCAAAGTGGAAGCCAATCAGAAAATTTACCGCCAAATTTCGTTATTGCTAATTTAGGTAATTTAATATTTTTTACCTCTTTGGATTTTTCCATCGATGATTTCTGGAATTTCATTTTCTGCTGTAGAATCCGATCTTGGTGCTCCAACTCGCACTGACGTTCCGCCTCCTTGTGAACTCGTTTCAGTTCTAGTCTTGCCTTTTCGATCGCTAATTGTTTCTCGGTTTCAGCGTCAATAGCCATAAGTAAATTCGCTTCGTCCTTTTCACGTTTAGCAAGTATTTCCTCTTCTTCTATTTCTACTAACACACGTTTAATATTTTCAACTTTCGATTTGGCTTCATTTAATTTAGTCTCACAGTCATTAGCCCACGCACGTACATTTTCTTCGCTGTCCTTTTGTATAAATTTAAGTTCCTTGATTTCCTCTTGAAGCGCATAAATCGCGTTAATTTTCTTTGAGATAGATATTTCCTTACGTTTTAATGGTTCTTTCTCTTGCGCAGTCAAAATATCGTCCATATTCCCCACTACAAAGTTTAAAGCTTTGAATTTTCCAGCTAATTCGCCAAGTTTTGACTCCATTTTCCATGCTAACACAACAATAAACCCAGGTGGTTTAAATCAAAATTTCACTGTTTAAATTCACAATATAATCCCGTCACAGAGGTGCCACTTTGTTGGGGATTGCCTCCGATGTTTCACCCAACAATTCACAATAGTCCAAGATTGAATAATAAAGTTTAATAAAATCACAATTCACACTCACTTTATCATAAGCTCGTCTTTACATCGACATTATTGCATGTATATATCACTTAATTTCCCGTATAGTTTTACCCATGTTCTTTTCACTCGTATGTATATATAGTTTTACCAAGGCGCGCTCTCGACTATATGTTTTTCTCGACACGTACTTCTCAACACTAATGTTTTATCACTAATGTTTTCATGCATTTTCAATCCCTTCTATTTACCTTTGGTACCAGGCACACATTGACACGAACCTTACACAAGTAATTGGTACCCCTTAATTGGTACAAGTTGCCAATGTCCTGGTACCCCTTGGTACGAGTTGTCACCTTGACTGCCCTAAGCTAGTTATAATATTCTAAAGTTCCAATTATTAAGTATAATATTGTTTTATTCCTACTATAAATGTACTAGTTTCCAACACACTCCCCCCATATAGCTCGCTTGTCGAGATATATGTATTAAGGAGACTGATATTCATGGTTATATGATTACTTTGTCAATTACTATATACTGTACTGTAGTCAATGAATGTTCATAATGTTAATGTTCATCTTTCACTGTTCATGATTTCTTGAATCCTTTGACTTGCTGCTGCTGCTGCGTCCCTTGTAGGTCTGAATGGTGGTACTGTGGGATTGAGGGGTTCACTGGGTTTCTTTCTTTTCCGGTCACATGACAGCTCTAGTGGGTAAAGGTGGGTAGGTGGTCTCTCTAGGAAGGTTTTCCCTGCTCGCAGTCGCACGGCTCTGATCATATCATCACGTCCCTTATACAATTTTTCCACAATTCCTAGTGGCCACTTCGCTCGATTTCGCTCGTCCGATTTGATGATCACGACGTCACCTTCCCTTAAGCTCATCGTTCTTGTCCCTTGATTTTGGTTGTGCCGCTCTCGCAATCCACGCAAATACTCCGTACTCCATCTCCGCCACACAGCATCCTTGCAACGGGACAGGAATTTCGCTCGTTTTCGTAAATCTGCTTCTTCGTTGTGGTGGGTTTCGAGTTCGGGAATGTTGTTAGAGTTAACAAACAACATTGAGTTTGGGGTTAACGTGGGCATTTGAATGTCATCTTCCATATAACTGAGGGGTCTGTTATTCAACGCTACTTCCACATCAAGTAATACTTCTTGCATTTCATTCCACTTTAGACATCCTCCACCAATTGTTTTGTACAACGCACGTTTCACCAGCCCAATGAGTCGCTCAAATTGTCCACCCCACCATGGGGCACGACTAAGATTAAATTGCCAGTGGATTTCAGTTACTGCCAAGAAGTTTTGTAACTTTTCATCCTTTTGCACCGTCTTTAACCATCTCTCTGCAGCCACGAACGTTTTCCCGTTGTCCGAGAATATTTTCTGAGGCCGTCCCTTCCTCGCGATGAATCTTTTGAGGCTGCTAAGGAACTCTTGAGCACTTAAGGTGGGCAGTAATTCAACGTAGATTGCTCTTGTCAGGCTGCAGGCATACAACACGATATATGCTTTACCTTCGGCTTTATTGCTTTTCTTGTACTTCAGCGGTCCGGCGAAATCCACTCCGATTGCTTGAAATGGGTGGTTTCCAACTGTTCTCTCGAGTGGAAGCATTCCGGGGGGTGGTTGCTGTAAAGCTTTGGCTTGAAATCTTCGACAGCCATAACATTTCTTGATCACTTTCCGCACTAGTTGACGTAGCTTGGAATCCAATAATTCTCTCTAACATGAGCCATTGTCATACCAACTCCCCCGTGAAGAGTACGCAAATGAGAATCTTCAACCAGCTTGGTGGTGTAAGGATTTGCGTCTGGTAGGTAGATAGGATAACGGCCTTGAATACGTCCTCGACATTCCAAGATACCAAATGCATTTGGTTGTAGATTCAAACGCAGGCGATCATCTTTGACATCACAATTGGATTGTAAATGCTTTATCCAGAATAGGTGTTGTTTCTCGAGCTCTTTCATGGTTAACGGACCTAGCAACTTTTGGTTAGGCTTTCGACAGTTCATCACGAATCTCTTCAACCTTGCGCAAACTCTCAACGTTTTCCATATACCAAATTTCTCCAGGAGTGCATCCAACGGATCCGTTTGTTCCAAAGATACTGCGAGTACTTGGCGAATCACCTTCGTCTCAGCATTGCTTTCTTTCGTGGCTTCGAGTGTGATATCTGCAGGCCAGTTTTCTCGGTTGCTGAGCCAATCGGGTCCATTCCACCATAATTGCTTGTCTTTTACCGATCCTCCTCTGCTACCTAGGTCGGCTGGGTTATCTTTGGTTGGAACGTGACGCCACTGAAGTCGAAGGTTTGACTTAATCTTGCTGATTCGGTTCGCAACGAACTGTTTATATTCTCCCCCGCCATTGATCCAATAAAGCGCAACAGTGCTGTCGAGCCATCCCTGCATGACCGTGACGGGAAATCCTTCTAACGCTCTCTCAACATTGTTAACGAGATTCGCGGCCATGTGAGCCGACACCAATTCCAGACGTGGTATTGTTAAGCCTTGCTTTGCCAATCTTGATTTAGCGGCCACGAGCCCTTGACTTACTCCTGATGGTTGGCGAACTATCGCGTACACCGTGCTGGACACACCATCACCGCTAGCGTCTCCGAACGCGTGAAGCTCTATGGACTCGATTTCTTCTCGAAACTTGACCAACGACCGAGTCGTACTCACATGATCTGGTAGTTCTTGTTCCCATCGAAACAGTTTCTTTTTTACATCGTCATCAATGGGCACGTCCCATCCTACTTTCTTTTGGCACATTTCTCGATAGATTAGTTTCCCTTGAAGGGTTTGGGGTGACACCAATCCCAATGGATCATAGATTTTTGCAAGCTTTTTTAAAGTTCCTCTTTTAGTAGGAGTCGCCGGTTCTGAGGGAATACTGATGCTGATTGTATCGGACGTTTTCTGCCAAGAAAGTCCAAGTAAGCTGGATTCCTCTCCTTGCGCAGTACCAAGTTGTCGTTTGGCATACGTAACATCCTCAACGGAACTCATAACTGGCTCTTCTAACGCTGGCTCGTTGGAATGCCACTTGTGTAAGGTGAACGTTGCGTCTTGGAATATCTCGGTCGCTCTTTGTTTCAATTCTCCAGCTTCTTTCACGGTCGCCTTCCCACTAATCAGGTCGTCAACATACATACTCTTACGTAATTCGTTCACTTCGTTTGGCATTTGATCTTTCCAGGACTCCAGGTGATGCTCGATTACTCCTCCCAGTAAAAAGGGCGAACAGGTGAGACCAAACAGCGCTCGAGTGAACCGCAATGTTTCGACGTTCGCGTCTAAATCTGGTTTCCAGTGGAAGCGGAGTGCATCTCTTTCTGCTTGCTTGATTCGGACCTGCAAGAACGCTTGCTTCAAATCTCCCGTTAACGCCACAGGGTGGAATCGCATTCGAACAAGTACATCCCACAAACGATTCTGAAGAGGTGGGCCAGCATTTAGACAATCGTTGAGGCTTGGTGCTTCCGGATACGCTCGAGCAGACGCGTCGTATACGATCCGTAATTTCGTTGATTCTGCCGATTCACGCACAACTGGTTTATGGGGTATGTAAAACTCGGTGCCAACTGGGAGACCGTTCGCTTCTTCTACAATTCCTTCTTCTTTCTGGGTTTTAATGATTTCTGCATACGGTTCGGAGAGTTCTTCCCGCTTCAATTTGCTTGTGAGGTTGTTCAGTCGTCGTAAGCTACCTTTCTCGTTATTTGGAAGGTTAGGATGGTTGCCTTTCCATGGTAGACCAGTCTCGTACCAACCTTGCTCATTCCTCACGAGTTGCTCTCTAAACTCTGCGTACACACTTGCTTGGTCATGTTCTGGACGATCTTCCAGGCCCAGCACGTCGAGACGACAAAGTTGTTCATAATCGGTTTGGTTGGATTGGGCGATTAGTAACGCGGTATAGTCTATCTCTGTTCCTTTCGTGATGATTGTCCATCCAAACTTCGTTTTTTCTGCGACACGTTCCCCGGTTTTGCCTACACGAGATGGCTGGTCAGTTTTTATGCACAGATAGTCGCTTGCTCCGAGAATGAGATGGATTGGAAGCTTGGGCTTTTGGTCCTTGTCATCCATGGTCACGCCTTCGAGATGTGGATACTTGGCGATTAGTTGTTGGTAGTGTGGGTTATCAACGTTCAAAAGTTCGGACTTATCAACTTTCGTCACGCTCACGTTCAGTTTAAATTTACCGTCTAAGGCTTCAACATTAACAGTGGACAGTTCCATTTCCGAGTAACTGCTCCAAGCATCATTTCCACTCGACGTATCTCTTTGTGACGTTTACGATTAGTTAAACGATTTAAAAGCGCGGCAGAAGCGTAGGAACTTCCTGCTCCTGTGTCTAGAAGCGCGCGACATTTCACACCTTCAACATTCACAACAACTACTGGGTAAGCTAACGGTATATCACTACTTTCGGTCGTGGTTAGTAATGGCTGTTGTTCTCTCGTGCAAATAGAGGTGTGATGTTTCTGGTTACAAAGTTGACAATTTAAGGTACTTTTGCAGTCTGATGCACGATGTTTTGCACCAGTACAGTTAAAACAAAGTCTACGCTCGGCGAGAAATTTCTTTCGGGCTGAAACTGAGGACATTTTCGGACAACTTTTTGACAAATGGCTACTATCTTCACAATAAACACAAACTCGCTTTTTTCGATCACCGTCCTTTGTATGATAAAAATCAGATCGTGGTCCAAACCGTTTTGGTGGTGATGATTTGTTATTATCTTGATAATTATTCTCAATTGGATTAACATTTTTCCACTTTTTCAACGCCACTACTAACCGCGGGAGGTCCCAGTCTTGCCACCCTTCTTCCCCCCGAACTAGGTCAGCTTTAATTCCCTTTAGTTTATCCAATACATTTCTCGTTGTACCATTGACCCTCTCTATTTTCCCCAATGTTTCTAACGACTGAACGTTATGAGAAAGTGTTTTGTAAAACTCATGCACTTTCACTGGACTCGATCCAGTTATAACAGGTAGGCCCATAATATTTTGAATGTGAGCATTGATAATCTCGCTGGATTTTCCGTACTCGCTCTTTAATACATTCTTGGCTCTCTCATATCCTTCAGTCGTAAAGGGTAACCCATCAATATCTACTCGTACTTTTGGTTCTAATAATTCTTTTAGATAACCAAACTTTGAAACTGAGGGTAGGTCGACTGAGTCTGTCTCAGCTTCAAAAGTGTTCCAAAGTGGAAGCCAATCAGAAAATTTACCGCCAAATTTCGTTATTGCTAATTTAGGTAATTTAATATTTTTTACCTCTTTGGATTTTTCCATCGATGTTTCCATGGATTTCTGGAATTTCATTTTCTGCTGTAGAATCCGATCTTGGTGCTCCAACTCGCGCTGACGTTCCGCCTCCTTGTGAACTCGTTCCAGTTCTAGTCTTGCCTTTTCAATCGCTAATTGTTTCTCGGTTTCAGCGTCAATAGCCATAAGTAAATTCGCTTCGTCCTTTTCACGTTTAGCAAGTATTTCCTCTTCTTCGATTTCTACTAACACACGTTTAATATTTTCAACTTTCGATTTGGCTTCATTTAATTTAGTCTCACAGTCATTAGCCCACGCACGTACATTTTCTTCGCTGTCCTTTTGTATAAATTTAAGTTCCTCGATTTCCTCTTGAAGCGCATAAATCGCGTTAATTTTCTTTGAGATAGATATTTCCTTACGTTTTAATGGTTCTTTCTCTTGCGCAGTCAAAATATCGTCCATATTCCCCACTACAAAGTTTAAAGCTTTGAATTTTCCAGCTAATTCGCCAAGTTTTGTCTCCATTTTCCATGCTAACACAACAATAAACCCAGGTGGTTTAAATCAAAATTTCACTGTTTAAATTCACAATATAATCCCGTCACAGAGGTGCCACTTTGTTGGGGATTGCCTCCGATGTTTCACCCAACAATTCACAATAGTCCAAGATTGAATAATAAAGTTTAATAAAATCACAATTCACACTCACTTTATCATAAGCTCGTCTTTACATCGACATTATTGCATGTATATATCACTTAATTTCCCGTATAGTTTTACCCATGTTCTTTTCACTCGTATGTATATATAGTTTTACCAAGGCGCGCTCTCGACTATATGTTTTTCTCGACACGTACTTCTCAACACTAATGTTTTATCACTAATGTTTTCATGCATTTTCAATCCCTTCTATTTACCTTTGGTACCAGGCACACATTGACACGAACCTTACACAAGTAATTGGTACCCCTTAATTGGTACAAGTTGCCAATGTCCTGGTACCCCTTGGTACGAGTTGTCACCTTGACTGCCCTAAGCTAGTTATAATATTCTAAAGTTCCAATTATTAAGTATAATATTGTTTTATTCCTACTATAAATGTACTAGTTTCCAACATGGGTATAAAACTTAGCGAATCAATAAACTTGATCTTAAGCATGGGTACATACATCGATAGAATTTTTGCACCACGCATAATAACTTCAGGACTAACACCGTATTCATGCAGGTACTGTTGAATAGAATATCCATCGTATCCCTGGAAATTATGGGCCATTACAATACATCCCTCGTGCCCCTTTGTAAACAGCCACTCACAAAATTCATTTCTCGTATTATCCCCTTCAAATACCCATTCGTCACCGGCTTCATTTTGGACCTCACACAGGTTTGGTTCGTGCGTACCACTTTCCTGTCGACACTCAAAGTAAAAAAACAGTAACTCATTATAGCCACTTTCGGACGTTTCATTATGTGCACCATCCTCTAGTACTTCCTCGCTCTCAGGTTCTCTCGCTACAGCTTGCATGTAACATTGGTGATCTCCAGGATCCACGTACTCCTTGCAAATCCTGCACTCGCTCTGTCCGCAGTGATGCAAGTCGGGCCCCACCCTTTCCCGTTTCACAACACTATTACAATGCATACATTTAATCAACGATGCACAGACCGAACGCTCATGACCTATATTTTGTTTGTGACGATCAAAAGATTCCCGGCTCTTAAACATACGATTACAATCAGTACACGAAACCCAGGCTACGACCGGACAATCCGGAAAACGACAGCACTGACATGCATTCGGACACATGTGATCCACCGACTTATCATATGGTTTTTCTGTGTGTACGTACGTATACACGTACATACGCACGTACGTACGCACACAAAGCTATAAAACAACTAAACGAAAAACCTATTTCACACTACGCTGCACAATGAACAGCACTACATCCGTAGATCACACGTGGACAAACAATCTAAGCGTCGACGAAGTCGCGCCGTCCGAAAGGGAAAACTTATGCAATCTCCTCAGTGCCATACTGCTTGATTTTGTTGCCGATCACATCAAGCAACTACGCAGCGAAAGATGCTGCGGATGCAAAGTCAATCATCCAAGCCAAAGGAGACACAAATGCCTTATGATGACCAACGAAGAAGGATGGCACATGTACGGTGAAGAAGCGATAAGATGCGTTCACACAAAAAATATCATATGGAAAGCATTCCTTGAACCTATTCGCGTCACAAAACTAGATTATCACCCGGACGCCTCCCTACACTATACAAACCTATGGAAAAACTATACTGAAACCCTCCAGACTCTCATGCATCTCAAAGAAGGCTCAACCTACCTAAGGTATGAACCCGTCGTCAACTACCTCTCCTACTGGATTAATGAACATTAACCAGACATTTCCAAAAGAAACTTTATTACCATAAACATTGTAATATTCTCAAACGTTTATTATTTTAAATCGTTTGTTCATAAACTTATTTATAACATGTTCATTCATAAATCTGACTAATGTCCTTTCGTAACTGCTTCATATCCTGTGCCAAACGCTTCCTTGAATCCGTTTCATCTACCACAGGTCCCGTAGCCGAACTCGTAGTAGAAACCATTGGTGCCGCGTAGGTAATGCAGGCAACCTAGGTATCGTCATCTTCAACCACTCTGCAACAGCATCCTCAACATTCTCGTGACGCGAAGTAAACACCTTGCAAGTATCCACATGCACATACTCTCATACGTTAATGGATTGGTAAAAAACACTCCTTGAGCTCAAACTCCTTGCTCTTCGCCTCCCGGCCATCACTGTACATTCCCAATCGACACGCCTGACAAAAACGCTGCTTGAAATTACGTGATGTAATACTCATGTCGCAAACCTTCCTGTGGTAACAATGCTCACTAGCACATGCACATTCCACATCCATGTATTTTTCAATAATATTCTCATCACTAGAACATGCCATCTTTCTCACAGTAAACTCTTCCTTTTTTTTAGTGCAATGTTTCCATGGAAACGTTGCACTATTGTGATGAGTGGCGAAATTCAAGCGAGAGATACATAGAGTAAACTTTCCGGGGGGGAGTTGCAAATGTTATCCCGATGCCATATCTAAAAAAACTTCAAGGTTGGAGAATTTTTAACGTTAAAACGGTATTTATAGTAATAGTAAAATTTCTTAAATTTGATTTAGCTTGACAATCAATGTTTAAACGTCTACATTACAGCAATGTTAAAAATTTACTGAGATAAGAAATATGGGGAATCGTGCCATTAGCATCCCCCGTATCATCGGATTTTCGTGAGAACTGCAAGTCAGCAAAATCAGCATGCACAAATAAGTATGGCAATATGTATGAGTGCTGGTCGAAATTTTAGAACATGCCTTGGGCAAACGATTTAACATGGATATGTATTTTTTCAATGCAATTTTAGACTCTATTTTGGGCCGCTTCAACTCGCCACATTTCATACGAGGCCCGAGTTTTTGCATGTCTATTTATGATTTTCTTTATAGGAATATTTCAATTTAAATCTTGTAGACGTAACTCAATTTATGTCACGAAATTTAGTTATACAGCTATATTTTATTCTTTTATATATGACTGTAGCCAGTATAGGCAGACACGTTGTTTTATAAATAACATGAAATATAATATCCCCGTGCAGTAGATCATGCAATATCATGTCTATATATAAATGTTTGTCTATA